AGCCTTCCGAAGCAAGGTCTGGGACACCACCAAGTGCCGCCCTGCGCGGCCTTAGCTCAGGGCTGCCATGTTGACACTCTCCTGGGTTCTGTGGCTCCATTGTCGTTTCCTAGTGCGCCTGACTCTCGTGCTGTATTCTCTTTTCTAGTCTGAGCCCCAGCTACATAGATCTGACTGAGTGTCCCTACATGTGGCCGTACTGCTCCCAGCCCATCTACTACGGAGGAATGCCGACAGTCGTCAACGTCACCATCCTCAACGGCATGGGCGTCACGGGCAGAATTGTAGACAAGGTGAACTGGCGCTCTGTCTTGTGCTGAGCTTAGGCGTGGCCCAGGCCTTGGCACCCCGGCTCTTTCTTGGAGGTTAACATAGGAAGGGTCTCCTCCCTCCATCCAGGGTGCAGGGCGTGGTGGCGTGGCTTGTCCCCCCTACCCCTGCCCCGGTCCCGTCACAGATAGGTCAGGGATAAATTAACGAACCAGGCTGCTGCTTTTTGACTTTGGCATCATGAGTTTAGCTTCTGAACTGATTACGTTTCATTCTTCATCTTTACAATTTCTCACATATAGTTAAAGCCCACTTGTATTTCTGCATCTTGAATGAGCACAAATGGGCCTTTGAGTTTAGAAGGTATGTAATGTCTTTATTTTAATTTTATATTTTTTCTTAGACTTATTGAGTAAACATTACAACAGCAGGATAGGGAAAGAACAGAAAAATCACTTCCAGCCCTACCACACTATGGTAGTCACTGTCTTCTAAAATATTCTTTTCCAGACTTTATCTGAAATACACTTTTTTTATTACCTTTGTTCAGTAGGCAAACTTTAGTCTTTTGGGTTTTTTTCATTTCTTACTATGTTGCAGACATTTAAAGATGTAACTGTATTTGTGGCACCAGTGTACTTTTTAACAGTTATTTGATATTACATAGAATTATTAAATCTTAATTTTCTTACTATTTCCTCTTGCTTGAACAGGTAGGTGGTTTTCAACTGTAACTATTTCACTCAATATCTTTGCACATTCATCTGAATTAGTTTCTTAACATACACTCCTTAGGTAGGAGTCCTGCATCAGGGGGCACCGACAATATTATGACCCTTGGTACTTAAAATCAAGCCCTTTCCAAGAGAAGAGCCACATCAGCTCAGGCTGCTGCCGGCCGTGCTGCCAGTGTCCACAGAGGAGTGGTGTACCCACTGCCTGCAGTGGGTGGTACGTTTTTAAAAAATTCCATGAGGCTCCTAAAAATTGAGACAAAATTCACATACCATAAAATGCACCCTTTTAAGTTGTGCAGTTCAGTGGTTTCTAGTGTATTTACCAGTAGTGATGCCGCCATCATGTACATAATCCCAGAGCATTTTCATCACCCCAGAAAGAAACTACTGTTAGCAGCCACTTCCCATTCTCCCCGTGCTCAGTTCCTGGCAACCACTCATCCACTTCCCATCTCTGAGAACCAACCTGCTCTGGACATTTCGTAGGAACAGAATCACACCGCACAGGGTCTTCTGTGACCGGCCTATTCCACGCTGCATGGCACCTTCAGGGTTCATCCATGTGGTCTCGTGTCAGGGCTTCGTCCCTTTTTGTGGCTGAGAGACCCCTTTTTGTTCATTCGTCCAATGATGGACATTTGTTTTATTTCTGGGCAGTTCATATTTTACTTTAAATTTAGAGGAGGGTGTACTACGGCTTGTTTGTGAGTTGGCTGTCCACAGGTTCATGACCTCATTGTATCAACTTCATTGTGAATTAGCTTTTCGTTTCTTCGGCCCATTTTTCTGCTGGAGTTTAGGATTTTCTTACCGCTCTGAATGGGATCTTTATATCATAGAAAATTAACCATTGTTTTATACAAAACGTTCTCCTAGATTATTGTTTCTTTTCTCTTAAATATTAATGGTGATCTCAGTTTTAGTTTTTAATTTTGTAAAACTTTCACATTTTCATGTAGTTGTGTTGTCTTTTTAATCTATTGTTTTAAAAATCAGAGAACTTGTCCCTCTGGAGATATAATGAAATCTCTATTTTTTGCTACTTTTCCTTTTATGCTTGTTAAATACCTGATTTTTTTTTCATCTGTGATAACTTGATATGTGGAATGAGAGACAGATTGAAATAGACTCTGCTGAATTGCTGACCAGTGGTCCCAGGGGCATTCATTAAGGACCCCCTCCCTTCCTCAGTGTTCGTGATGCTGCGTCCTACCAAAATTTTTCCTTTTTTTTTATTTTGCTGACTCACTTGGGGAGTATGTTGTCACTCTGTCTTGTGAGGGAAAGGAGTGACCGAGGTTAATTTGAAGTGCTGGTTCATCATGAGAGCTGCCTTGCATTTCTCCCAGCTGCCTTTCGTGCTCCCCTTTCCAGTCTCCGCAAGCCTGGGAGAGTGTGAGGGCCACGCCTGCACTTCTGGGTGCCTCATAAACCTCTGCCCGCCCTGTCACCAGCCTCAGAATCTGGGGACCATTTGCATCATGCCACTTTATTATTTTATTCCTTTCAGTTAATGTGAGTTGTTAAGCATACATCTAATTGGGATCTAACCTCAAATCTGACTGTTTTTGTTCACGTTCTCTATCAGAGAATTTCTTTGTCAGAGCAGGTATCCCTTTTTTATTTTAATCTTCAGAAAAAATTTCTCTTTAAAATTGGAGGCTGTTAGAAATAGTTTGTAGACTTCTCCAGTGGACAATGTTCTAGACATTCCATAGGCTACCTTGCTCATAGGTTGCTTAGTACTCTGTATACATTTAATTTTGCATTTAATGAATTGGTTCTCAAAAAATGACGCAGGTAATTTAGGAATTGAGTGTTTCCCCTTAACCATTGTTTTTCTCCTCCAGCCTGACTGGCAGCCCTACTTACCACAGAACGGAGACAACATTGAAGTCGCTTTCTCCTACTCCTCCGTGTTATGGCCTTGGTCAGGCTATCTGGCCATTTCCATTTCTGTCACCAAGAAAGCAGCTTCCTGGGAAGGCATCGCGCAGGGGCATGTCATGGTCACCGTGGCTTCACCCGCAGAGGTGGCAGTAAGTGCGTGCAGGCAAACAGGCCTGTGTTTCTTGGCCTCTCTGTCACCTGCTGGCAAGGGCGAAGCAGGCCGAGTGCCTCGGGCTCTGAGGTGGAGCACAGGTGACTGGCGTGATGAGGCTTGGGGGCGTGAGTGACAGTTCCAGGGCCTGTGGAGCTGCACTAAATGAGGGGTGGCCTCCGGGGCTGTTGTGAGCAACAGCAGATTGGGTTCTCTTGGGCCAGATTTCAAGCTCAAGGTGATTGCAAAAAATGGGCACTCTGGAAGGGCAGGCAGGGTCAGTCCTGCGTAGCCCCGTAGTCTTGAGGAGCAAGGTACCCTAAATGTTAGGTCTTAGACTCTTGGGTGGCATTAGTTGTGATCTGTGCATGTTCTTCCCTGTGTTTGTTGTTATTAGAAATTCTTGTGTTCAAATTATGTGAGTTAAGTTGATCAGTAGAAGTGACTTTTTAAACCAGAAAATGTGAAAGTTTCTTCTGGGCATGATGGGCATTTTGGGTTTCTTTTATTTCAGTCCAAAAATGGTGCAGAACAGACTTCAACAGTGAAGCTCCCAATCAAGGTGAAGATAATTCCTGCTCCTCCTCGAAGCAAGAGGGTCCTTTGGGACCAGTACCACAACCTCCGCTACCCACCCGGCTACTTCCCCCGGGATAACCTGAGGATGAAGAATGACCCTTTGGACTGGTAAGCACAGCAGGGCGAGGGGTCACTGTCCCTTTGGGGGCAGGCTTTGCTCCTTGCTGGCCCAGACTGGCTGACGCCTGGCCTTTGCAGGCCCTTGTGCTCTGGAGCCTCCGCTCCTCTCCTCTGAGGCTTCCGCAGTATGTGGTGAGAAGCCTTGAGCTCATCCTTAGGGCTCCCCCCTCACTTCTGTTGAATCGGCCAGCAGATCCAGTCCCTCCTGCCTCTGAGACACATCCCGAAGCCTGCCTGTCTGGTCGCTGCCGTGCCCCACCCTCATCAGGCCATCGGCGTGTCCTGCCTGGGCAGCATTGGAGACTTCAACAGGCCTCACTGCCCCCAAATTCCAAATTCTCTACCTCACAGCCCTCCTCCCCTTCAGACAGCTTGAATTCTGTCATGGTTTGCTTACAACTCTCTGGAGGCCACCTGTGCAGACTTCCCACCATGCTCTGCACAGCCCTCCGGCTCTGCCTCCGAGCAGCCCCTCACCCAGCCGTCCCTGGCTTTCCCTCCAGGGCAGAGGGTTAGCTTTCCCTTGGCCCATACCCCAAGCTCAGTGCTGTCTTTGTGTAACTAACGGAGTTTCAACTTGAGCATTGCAAGGTTGAACAGGACACCTACCAGGTCAGATCTGTTCTTTATAACAATGTCTCTGGAAGGCCACTGGAGAGACTCAGACGAGAGACAGGCAGACAAGAAAGAGTGAGGAGTTGGTAGACCAAGGTGATGGCCATGGACCTGGACAGGGGCCTGTGGGTCCAGCCCAGTTGAGGAGGTAGACTCTGGAGGGCTGTGTGTAGGGTGGTGGGTTGAATGCCCCCTGGCTGTTTCCATGGCCATTTGGTGGGTGACTCACAGGGAGCGCACAGTAGGAGGGACAGGGCAGGAAGGTGACCGGCAACAGTGCTGCAGGCTCCCTGTGTGCTCATCCTGGCTCACTCCCCTGCATCCCTTGTGCTGGCATGTCTGCCTGCCCATGCCTATATGGGGTGATTGCTAGCTGTTTCCATGTGTGCCGCCGCTAAAGTGTTGGTTCATGGTGTTTCGCAGAGCATTTCTTTGGTTATTTCTTCTCATCCTCTTACCCGCTCCACACCTGTGCCATGTGTACAGTTCTTGTTACTGCCCTTTTTATTTGTGAGCACAGAGAAAGCTGGGCTGCAAAGGCGCTTTCTGTGCCATGGGTCCAGCCCCCAGGCCTGTGCTGGTGACAGGCTGTGCTCCTCCAGATGCCACCGGGGACTAGCTAAGCCTTGGTGACCTATGGAGAAGGATCATTTTAGTGCCGGGTTTACTGTTTTTCAGGAATGGTGACCACATCCACACCAACTTCAGGGATATGTACCAACACCTGAGAAGCATGGGCTACTTTGTCGAAGTCCTGGGCTCCCCCTTCACGTGCTTCGATGCCAGTCAGTATGGTGAGTGGAGAGGTGCCGACCAGGTGTTCTTTCTGCTCAGTTGGGTGTTGTTGAAGCTCACAAGGTGAATCCAGGGCTAAATCAGAGTGGAGGGAGCATGTGTAGGGGCTCCTGGTCCTGGTGGAGGCTGGAGCAAAGCTCCAGTACAGAGTGGCGTGTGCTCCCATGTGGTGGGGGTGGTGAACCTGCAGCTGAAATTTGGAGCTATCACACCAGCGTCAAGGACATTGGTGCTTCTGAATGTACTTCAGTGAAGAATCCGTAGCACTGGATTTGCTGCTTCTCCAGTAAGTGAAGTAGCCTCTGTCGGCATCACAAATGAAGGGGAAGGCCACCCAGCCGTCCCGTCCTCGTCCGCCCACTTCTGGAGCAGTGTGGGCACCCAGACAGAAACAGTAGGAGCCAACAAGCCGAGATGCGGGTGCCAGAAAGCATGTGCTCCTGACACGCTGTCCTGTGGCTCAGGCTCAGTTCAGCCTGCAGTGCTCACGGCTCGGCCCTTTGTCCTGCAGGAACCTTGCTCCTGGTGGACAGTGAAGAGGAGTACTTCCCTGAGGAGGCCGCTAAACTGCGGAGGGACGTGGACAACGGCCTTTCGCTCGTCGTCTTCAGTGATTGGTACAACACGTCTGTTATGAGGAAAGTCAAGTTTTATGATGAGAACACAAGGTACTGACCTGAATTAGTGTTTGGATAAGAAATTTAGCTTTTGGGGAATTAGATTCTACCCAGCAAATACTGAGTAGCCAGCCTGCTGGCGGTCCTTCCAGGGGTCAGAGACAGGTTCAGACGCCCGGCAGGAGGAAGTTTCTCATGTGATAGAGATGAGAGATGGTCTTGAAAGTGGCTTATAAAGGTAGTAAAGTGCCTGATTCCCAGTACTGGGGACAGGGTTAATGGTCTTACTTGTTGATCTTAGATACTTGAGTTTTAAGTTTCCGTGGAGTTCTCTTCCATTCTCCCATCTACTGCCGAATCTGTGCAAGCGTCATGGCACCAAAGCGCTGCTATTTAAAGAAGGCTTCCAGTGAGCTAGGTATCGACCAGCGATTCCTGGTGCGCCACATCAGCCTTAAAATTTGAACTTTACTTTTAGAGCCTGCCACGTGAACTTTTAAGTTCTTATCTCTTTTCTTCTCACTGACCCCCTTGAGGTCTCAGCTCTACATGCAGTGCATTTATGTCATATGTGGTATATTCATGAAATAAATGTAGCTTTGATTTTTCTGCATACCTGGCTGAAGCATTTACATGATAGTATTAGCCAGACCCAGACAGCGTTAGCTGAGACCTTAGAGTGCATAGGGTTTAGTTATGGCATGAGAAGACTGGGTGTAGGAGGGCGTCTAACCTCCCCGCCCCGTGCCCCTCTGTCACTTTGCAGGCAGTGGTGGATGCCGGACACCGGAGGAGCTAACGTCCCAGCCCTGAATGAACTCCTGTCTGTCTGGAACATGGGCTTCAGCGATGGCCTGTACGAAGGGGATTTTACCTTGGCAAACCACGACAGTAAGGTTTTGCATTTGTTCTCTAGTAGGGCACGTTGTTCCAAGAGATGTGAGAGTAGAAGCCATGTGTCTTTGAAGTTGAAGTTTCAGAGACAGAATGAGGTGTCTCCTAAATAAGCAGGTCTGTGGTGAGACCTATTCAGTGTCTTCAGAAAGGACATTTGTGAAGCAGGGTGTTACCACTCTAGTTCTCCCCAGATTTTCAACATGAAAATATTTTGTGTAGGCATTGCTAACTTAAGGGTCACCCATAAAGTTCTTCATGTCCTATGTATTCCCACATAGGATATACCTTATAGCTCCCTGGTTATTATAAACTTCTCTCTGTGAAACAACTTTGCATATCTCATTTAAGAAGTTTCCCCACAGATTAGTTTTGGTAACTAGTTTCTAGAGCAACATCCTGAGTGTTAGCGTCACTAATTCTGCTCATCCTGACTCGGGTGTTTCAGGTCTCTGACTCTGAAGTGTATTCAGAAACCTTGTATTAATAGTATTCCTTGGCTTGAATTTTGACATAATCGCTTGTAGTTTTAAGTGTGACCAGGCAATGATAGCAGCTCCTCTCTTAAGATTAAGAGCAGTTTTAGGAAATAGATAATGTCTAAAGAATGTATTTTAGGTAAACTTGTAGCTGTGGATAGAGTCCAGTGTTTCTGTGTTGTCGTAACTCTTTCCTAGTGTATTATGCATCTGGGTGCAGCATCGCTAAATTCCCAGAAGATGGCATAGTGATTACACAGACCTTTAAAGACCAAGGTAGGAATGCTCTTACTACACTTTTTGGTTTCTTTCTCTCTCTCTTAAAAATAAATAAATAAGTTTTATTGAATGTGATTCATATACTGTAACATTCAGTCTTTTAAAGTGTACAGTTTAGTGATTTTAATGTATTCACACGGCTATGCAGTCATCCCCTCTCTCTACTCCCAGAACATTTCATCACCCCAGAAAGAAATCCCTTACCCATGTAGCAGGGTTTTTCTTTTTTCAAGTTTGTTGCAATATTATTTGACTAGTTCCTACTTTGGGCTGGACTGTGGCTAGTGCCCCTGGGGGATGCAGAGCCAGGTGAGATAGCCCCTTGCTGATCATTTAAATGTTTGCACTGACTGCTGCAGAGTAAGTCAATTTCTCGCAGGAGGGAGGACTGTTGAGTATTTATATATTTTTTAAACTACCTTCAAAGCTGTTTGAGATTTTTGTTAGTATTTGTGAATTGTTCTCCTTTTATGATCAGATTACTAAAACTTTTGGAAAATACTGACTGTGTTTTGAGTTGTTAACTATGTAAAGGTTATTATAAAGGACATTATAGAAGCATTTAGTGTAATATAAAGAATATTAACTTCAGAGTCAGCTCTTAAAATTGCCTTCAGAATTCCAAGGCAGAGAGGCCTTCTGTTTCAGTTTTGCTTCTCTAACAGCAGAGGCATCACCCCTAAAGGCAGACGAGGCCAGTATCCCTCCCGTTGGTTCCTGTGACACCCCACTGACTGTGCTTAGCAAACCTGGGGCATGGGAAGGAGCTGAGCGACCTGGGCTGCCCTGCCCTCCTGAAGGTGGGCAACTGTCCACCTGCCTCCGTGGGGGACACTCTTGCCGCAGCCCAGCGCACCAGCGACTTTGCCGTCTCTCTCCCGCCTGTGCTGAGAGTCGGGAGGCTCCTTCCACGCCAGCGTGACGGGTCCATGGAGATTAGGAGATGGATCTCTATCCTCCTGCAAGTGGATATTTTGTATTTCAGAATGGAAGTTCCCCTTCATTTTAAAGTTTGCCGTTTCTGTAATCGGGAAGTTAGGGACAGTTTCCTTGGAAGTGACAAGAAGGCAGGATTCTCACTCATCTATTTGCAGCTTCAAGGTAGAATTAATTTTTGTAATACCTGGAAGGGATTTTTCCCTTCATCAAAGCAAGGTCAGGCAGTAGATAGGCCTGCATTCCTAGGGTAACACTTTAACGCAGAGGACACGGGGGATCGGGCCTTCCCAGTCACTTGGCGCAGCTGACCGTGGACTGTGATTCTTCGGGGAACTGGTTTCCCCCAGCGCGGCGCTGTTTCTGGGGTGGGCGCCCGCGGTGGGGGCAGCAGGCTCTGCGGCTCGTTGCCGCCTTCGAGCCTCGCTTTGCGGGGAGAGGAGGCAGTGGGGCTGCTGCGATTGGTGCATGCTTTGCTTTGGTATTCTGCTAGACTGAAAATAAAAGTTAATCACCTGGAAAGCCTTATAAGGGGCTTTTTATTTCCAAACAGGTTTTATGTTGAATAATCTTCTGGGTATAAAATAGGAATTTGAAAATCTGGGCTATATGGGATCAAAAAGAACCATATTGTCAGAAACCACAGTCGAACCACGAGGCCAAGTGACAGTGTAGGGTGCCCACTGTCCCCATTTCATCTGTTTCACTGCTCTGTCTTTCCCTCCCAACATAGAAAATCTTGTTTTCTTTTCTGCTCAATTCCTCATGGGATTAGACTAGAGAGCAGGAAATCTATATTTTTATAGCCACAGACATCTTAGATGATACCAACACAGTGAACACTGGATTCTGGTGAAGATGTGTGTCAGCTCCTAGTGCTGGGGGCAGTGTTTGCTTCAGGGGTAGAGACTCAGAGTAAGGTGATGTCGTGGAGCTCACTGCCTGTAGCATTTACATATTATTGATTTCTTGAGTCCTTAAACATTTATAAATTGTGTCATCTGTTTGGGCTGTTGGAACATTTGTGTTTGTGAGATTAATGTAACATATCGTATACCTAAATTAAAAATATGTGGGCATGTGTTTTAAAAATTATTTATGTTTGTCCTCACTTTTAATAATGAGACTGGACACCCAAGTATCAGAACGTGTAACTGCATTCATAGTGGTATCTCTGTGTTTAGCCTGGTTGGCTGACCCTTGTGTATGCAGTCCAGAAACATAACCCTTTCAAAAGGGTGATAAGGGACAAAGATTTGTGTTTGTAGGATAAAAAGGGAGAAGTGACACCCTAAGATCATAAATACATGTGCCGCCATTTCAAGTGAGAATGAATGAGGATTGAGAATGGAAGTGCAGGTGTACGTGTCAGTGAATTTTACCAAAACCCTGATGAATGGCACTTGAAGCATTTCCCTATCCTAAAAGTTTGCACTGTTGTGATTGGATGTTAGATTTTGATGTAATTTTTGTTTGTCATATGGACTAAATGTCAAGTTAAGTGGCAACTAGAAAATGATTCATTCCTCAACCAAAATTTCATGGTTGTTTTTGTTGCATTATTTCAGGGTTGGAGGTTTTAAAGCAGGAAACAGCAGTTGTTGAAAATGTCCCCATTTTGGGACTTTATCAGACTCCCATTGAGGGTGGTGGCCGGATCGTGCTGTATGGAGACTCCAATTGCTTGGACGACAGTCATCGACAGAAGGGTGAGAACTGGTGGTGTGGCAGAAGGCAGGTTGGGCTTCCTGAGGTAAACGCACAAATCCTTCCTCACTCTTATCTCTGAAAAGGCACCGATGAGGTGCTGGTAAATAAACAGAAACCTGTTCCGGAGAGCCAGGTGCAGCTGGGTGATAGGTATCTAAGTGCACAGGACGTTTAATAAGCCAAAAACCTTCATTTACAGGCTACACTGGCCCCATATTCGTTGTCCCAAGGCCTGCGGATGCCAGGACCAGCGTGTTTCAGTGGAGAGGGCCTTTGCCCATTTCTGCCCTCCCTGTCCCACTCTGGAGTCTGTAGGTCATGGGCACCACCACGTGGGCTGCCTGTTCTTGGGTCAGACTCAGTCTTTTCTTGGAAGGCCAGCACTTGGCTGTCTTCTGGGCTTGGGAGCCTTGCTCTCGGGAGGCTTTGTCAGCGGGAGGCTTTGTCAGCGAGGGCCCTTTGGTGTCGCCGCCAGGTGTGCAGGGAGGTGGGGAGTGGGGAGCTAGGCCCCACCTCTCCTTTTTTTCAACGTCTTGCGATGCAGCCTCCAGATTCAGGGGTCACAGACTGTTCCCATTTTGTAAGGCAGAAGTGGGATGGTCAGAGTGTCACACATGATAACATGACAACGAAGCCAAGACTGAAGCCTGGTCACCTTGCTCGCCAGGGAACTGGGTGGGTGGGAAGGGAGGTAAGTCAGGTCCTCACGTGGGTACAGCGAGCGCTGGAGCTTGAATTGGATGCTGTGAGGGGCACCTCTCTCTCATTCACAGTCGGAGTTGACCAAATTCCTAGCATTGTATGTAAATCTATAGATTATAGTTGGTCTTTTTAAAAATGATTAGTGACAGGTAAAGACACAGTTAGAAGATTGTTTTATTTCCACATAGATTTTTTTTTAAGACAGAAATCTCCTGGTATGAGTCTATTACAACTTTAAATGCCCGAGAGGACTGTCCTGGTCCTTAAAGTTCCAGTGGCAGCGTGGAGGACCTTTCAGGGTCTTTAAGCACATGACCGGCAGTGCTCTGAGTGAGGGACGTGCCTCCTGGTGGCCCATTTCTCATGCGTCTCTAGTCCAGGCGGGTGCTGGTGAGCTGCAGTGGCAGGCGTGGGGAGAGGCGGTGTGTGGACCTGTGATCCAGTTTAGACAGTCAGCATCGCGGCCCCTCGTGGGAAGACTCTGCACCAGGAGCTGTTGATCGCCCCCACTCCCTGCACCTCCCTGAATGTCCCCCAGCGTGACTGATGATTTCCTGCTTTCCTGTGTCTGGTTGGGGCCCACTGACTCAGAGGGCAGCCCGAATTGCCAGACTTGTGCACTTGGCTGACCTTGGGCCCAGGTTCCTGAGGAGTGTGCATGGAGGGCGGTGAACCTAGGTCCTCCCTGAGGACAGCCTTTGGGTGGTGCCTCTTTCCCTCTCCTCTCGCCTGGACCCCCACTCTGCATGGTCCTCCATCAGTGGTGCCACCTGGTCTCGCTCTCCCGGCATGAGCTCCGAGAGGGGCCTGGAGCCGAGCGGCCCTTGGGCAGCTTGTCCAGCCCTGTGCACCATGGTGCGGCCCTGCCCCAGCCTGGGGGCTGGAGTGAGGCTCAGGCAGGTCATGTCTGTTTTGTAGTCTTTGTGGACCGTTGCTGACCACAGAGAATGCCGTTTCTCAAGAATAAGGGTCCACTTTGACCTACTCTTCTCATTTCCCCTTCCCCCTCATTTGGGGGACTAACTTTTATTTTCCTGAAGAGGGTCCTTTAAAAACAGTTCCAAAGCAGCACGCTTGTTGCCCCGCAGACTGCTTTTGGCTGCTGGACGCTCTCCTCCAGTACACGTCGTATGGGGTGACCCCGCCCAGCCTCAGCCACTCTGGGGACCGACAGCGCCCTCCCAGTGGCGCCGGCGCACTTTCTCCAGAGAGGATGGAAGGTGAGTGGGCCATAGGCATTCCGGGGTGTCGAGGCTGCTTGTGTCCGGAGGTAGTCATGCCTGCCCCCAAACGGAACCTGCTTGACGGTGCTCCCGATGGTTTTCTTAGTGACTGCCGGCAGCATGGCAGCCAGCGGCACTGGTGCAGACAGCAGCACAGACGTTACTAGGGTTCCCATGCTTGCTCCCCATGTCCCCACACCACCCTCTCATGGGGACACTGGCTCCAGGATCTTTGGGAAGGACAGCTAACATTTTGGGTACTCACTAGATACCAGGCAGCAGTCTGAGGTGCTTTACATGCTTGTTTCCCTAAGTCCCCTAAGAACCCTGTGGAGACAGGTGTTAGTCTCCCCACATCACAGGTGAAGAAGCAGGAGCTGAGGGAAGAAACTGCTCAAGGTCACCAGGTGGTTAGGCAGTGGAGCCAAAGGGAAGGTTTGGTGGTGACCTGTGGCCTTGGCCACCTGGTGTGCGCTGGGCAGGGCTGCTGCTGCAAGGCCTGCATGTTCTATCCTCCCAGCGTTGTCCACGGAATTAGCCACATCAAAAAGAATAAAAAGAAATGGGTGAAATACATTTTAATGAAATACTTCAACCCAGTACACCAAAATGTTACTAAAATATGTGACATGCACCCCATTTCGGTTGCTCGGTGGCTGGCTAGTAGCTAGTGTTGGATAGCACAGATCTGAAAAATAAGTTTTCAATTTAGAAAATATGGATTTTTTTTTTGCCTGAGAATTAAGTGTTTCAAAAGAGAAAGGTTTTTCCGTGAAGCTTATCTACAGGTTAGGCTCCTCAAGTGTATATAGCCTTGCACGTGTCATTGTGAGTGGTAAAGGTTGCCGAGCTTTACAAAGGGAACAGCCGTTCTGATCTGTTCACTCACCTTTAGCAGTGGGTCTGCGTCAGCCCCAGCCAGGCCTCTCTCCTGAAGCACTTGGAAGACCCAGGTTAACAGTACCTATTGGGCCTGTCAGCAAGATAGCAGACTAACGAGGCCTCGTTTTTCCCCTCGCGTCTCGCGCTGACGGCTGCCTGTTGCTGGGTGGATGCTGCCCAGGGAACCACCTGCACCGGTACTCCAAGGTCCTTGAGGCCCGCCTGGGAGGCGCAGCGCCACGGGCTCTGCCGGCCTGTCCGCACCTGTCATGGGCCAAGCCACAGCCTTTAAATGAGACGGCTCCCAGGTTAGTGTCTTCTTGTGCTTTTCCACTCCTGGTGCAGAGTTTATGGTTCATAACTCTTTTTTACAAGAGAGAATGGAATTTTACTGACATCACTAATCAGACCTTCTAGCTTGTCATTTTGTGATGGTTATTTAAATTAGTGAGCTCCCATTTTGACCTTTAGAACCTGTGCTCTTTGGTGGTATCCTGCATAAAGAAATGCTTCGGGTAATTAGCGTTTTGTTAGGTTTGGCTGCTTCTTGCTTAAAAAGCTGTGTTCTGACTGTAATGCCACTGAACAGAAGCTCTGACTCCTTCAGTTGGGGTTCCACAATTGAACACTCCCTATCTGCACTTTTGATACTGAAATAGACACAGGCCCTTCTGCTGTGCCTGAGAGGCTGAGACCTGGGCTCTTGGGCACAGCCTGGCCCAGAATGTGCTGTGCCAGGAACCTGCGCCTGCACCCTTACCCCAGGCTAATTGCTGTCTCTGGTCAAGCGACCTTGCACCAGTTAGGGTCACAGTAGTTGGGCATCTATATGTGGTGCCCAGACACTGTTGCTCTGCCTGTTTTCCATCTCATTAACTCAGCCTCTGAATTTGTAGCACTGACTTTTGGAAGCCAGAACTTGAGCTCTCCCTGTGGCTCCCTTCGGCGGAACAGTCCCCTCTCCATGCTGGTTCCTGGGTTTTCTCTAGGTCGTGCCTCCTCCTCTCATTGGCATCCCTGGCCCTGCAGGACAATGTCCCGTGCTGGCCAGAAGGCTGGGAGCTTTTCCCGATTTGGGGTCCTGACATGGTGAAACTGGGGCCCATGTCCCTGGGACAGCTCTGGGTCTGGGGGCAGGCCTCCCACAGCAGAGTGCAGGCCTCTCTTTCAAGTGGTGCTTCAAGAAACCGTCTGCCTCCCAGGCAGCATGCCTTACACCTCCCAGTGGGTTGGCAGTCCCCTCACCCCTCTGGCAGCAGGCTCTGCTCTGTGGAGGCTCCTGCTTTCTCTCCCCACCCACATTGGTCTCAGGTGCTGTGTGACTGCACGGGGAGGGCTGTCGTGGGGACAGAGGCCACCGTCTGTGCTGTGAGCCATGAAGAGGAGGATGCCGGCAGGAAGGCCTTGAAGCCACCCTCAGCCTCACCATCCCATAAACAGACATGCACTGACCCCGAGTCTCCTTTAGAACATTCCCAATGGAAAACGATACATTGTGCAATTGTCACATAGTCTTCTCATCAGCTATTTCCTTTCTGAAACTCTTAATTACTGAGTACTTTCCATTTCAGTTAGCATCCCATCATTTAAAAATTTCTGATAAGATTCTATTTTTACATTCCACTTATTTATGACCTACCATTATCCTAGCCCTCAAGCCAGACTCTAATTCCAGCCACCGTCAGCAGTTCATACGCAGTGGGCAGTGTTGGCTGACGCTCCCAAAATGTACTTCGTCTCCAGAGCGCTGCTGAGGACTGGAAACGGTCCTTGGTGTCTGCATGTCCACGTCAGACAGTCCATCCAGGGCTGCCCTGGCTATCAGGGATGATGTGCAGCTCCTGGGTTTCGATTGTCACCATCACTCTCAGGAGTCCTTCTTGACATACCCACCAGGCTTCACCTTTATCTCACATTTCACATTCTGTTGAAAATTGTTTGCGGTCCTCAGAGACCCAGAGCGAGTGCCAGGTTCTGAACCCCTGAAAAGGTGTGAGGCAGTGTCAGATGGCTGCAGATGGCCAAGGGTTCGTCGCCTCAGTGCTGCGTGTAGGTCTCTAGTCCCTCTGCAGCAGAAACGTATCCCTGTTTCTTTGTTGGGCATCCGATGTCCCTTTGGAGAGCAGCCGCAGGAGCATCCCCCACAGAGGAAGCCCTTCATCCTTCCGTCAGCATGTTGGGTAGTTCCCAGACAATGGTGTGGTTTACAGTTGCTTAACTGGGAGGGCTGCCGCCAGATAAAAGCCAGAGGGTGTCACCAGTGAGAATTAAAGTAGAGCCCCGTGTGTGTTCAGCTACACAGAGCTGCGGTGTCATGAGTGTGACTTAACATTATCAGGTTAGTTTTCAGCCTGGTTCAACCTGAAAGGTAAGGTTAAAGCACATACAGTAGAACAGGCTGTCATCCTCCCTGGCATTTTCCGAGCAGCCACCACACTGGAGCTGGACGGAAGCAGTCTGTCTCCTTCCCACCCATAAAGTCTTCAGAGACCCCCCGTCACCTGGCAGCTACTGACCTTCACCTGCCTGCTGAGAGAACTGAGTATCTTTGCTTTCACTTGGCCAAAGTAAGAGAAAGGCTATTTCCAAGAGAATAAGTAGAAAAATGGGTAATTCATGAGTTGCAGACATGTTCTCTCCCTTTCCCCCACTTGAACCAGAACAGACTTCAGATCCCCATGGCATTCTGTGCTCTCATCTCGGTGTCTTCCCAGACCAGCTGCTGCTCTCCGTGGCATAGCAGCAGCCCCTTCTCTTCAGGCGTAAGTTGTGGTGGCCTGATGAGCGCCCCAGACCTCAGGACTAGCCCCGAAGCACTGCTGTGGGAGCCCCGCACATCGCAGAGCGCGTGTCCTCGCGCCCTGGCCCAGCCGAGGCCGGTGCTTCTTCCCACCTCCTGTTTCTTGACTGCGGGGCCACTTGTGCATCTGCCTCATCTTCCTCCTGACGGTGGTGTCCGAGGACAGAGACCACAGCCACCTCTGCCACGCTGGCCCGTGTTCCTCAGAGACCCCATGGCAAAGTCCTGGTGCACCTGGCAGCTGGCCTGCGTCCCTCAGCTCTTTCAGGGGGGGACGTGTGGCTTCCGGTGATGTTCCCAGTTTAGGCAAAACTAGGCTTATGTTGGCGACATTGTAAACCATGTAGAACTGCTCAGTTCTTTCAGGCTGAAATTTCTGGGAATAAACCATGACCCTTGTTCAGGATATTCTGACCTAATGCATGTGGACGGGATTTTGATTTTTCTGTCTGGGACCTGGAGGTTGTTGCTACGGCTGTTGAGCACTTGGGTGTAGGTAGGTGTAGATGAGACATCATTTTACTGTTCTCTATAAATCACTTTCTGTTTCTTAGGTATTGGCTAAGCTACCCAGGCTGTACAATTGCTCATTTTTATTTTGTTTTAACCCACTTTCCTGAAGTAATCTTTGGAAACATCAAAAGTTGCTCTCCATCGACCTGGACAAAGTGGTATTACCCAACTTCCGGTCAAATCGCCCTCAAGTGAGACCCTTGTCTCCTGGAGAAAGTGGTGCCTGGGACATTCCTGGAGGTCAGTTGTGAGGGGCTTTACTGTGCTAATCGTACTGTTCCTCTCCCTCGCTCCTCCAGCAGGTGGCCGGAGGCCCCGTCTTTGCCGTCCCGTCCTGGGAGCCGTCGTGGTCCGGGTGGGTTTCGTGGTACCAGTCCACAGGGCCGAGAGGGCAGCACTCTTTTGGATATCTCAGAAAATTCTACCTGGGTTTTGAATTCTTTTATGATGTCCAGGTGTTAACAAACATTTTTCCAACTGAGGAACCTGTGCCCACTCCCTCATTCTCAAGTGTGTGTGCACCCCGGGGGCTCCCATCGTCTGCGGTTTGGGTCCCAACCAGTGGCTGTAGCCACCCCAGTCCCTAAACCTTCAGCCCAGAGGTCTCCACTGATTCCCTGCCTGGGCCTGCCTGGGACTTGACCAGGCTAGAATTCTCCATTGAATGCGGGTGTGTCCCCTTAGGTGATCTGAGTCTGTCCCCTCCACAGGTAATGCCTTTGGCATGATTGACCATTTGGGACAGATCCTCTCTTAATCTGGGGTGATAGGTATCAAGTCATCCTGGCAGACTCTGGGTGGCTCTTTCTGGAAATCCTGGTGCTCTCCCAAAAGGTTACAGCTCCCTGGGCTGGGTTTGGGGTTCTCCTGGCTCCAGGAATTGGTTGAATTTCTGGGAATCAAGAACAGTGCCACCGTCTGTGTGGTCCAACCCTGGGAACTTTGTGGGCCTTGCTGTAGGTCATGGGGCGTGCTAATGAAGCTTAGTTCTGAAACTCCAGCATTGCTCAGTTACAAAGTCAGACTGACAGTGCGAACCAGGGGACTTTCAGTGGCCTCCAAGCCCCTGACCACGTGTCCCACCTGCACAAGGCTTTCCCAGAAAGGTGGGGGCACTGCCAGCCATCCAGACTCCCCGCCTGGCCTCCTTCCTCTTGTTCACCCTCAGTGAGTGTGACACCAGCACCCTCCCCTCCCCAGCATCCAGCCTGTCCATCTCCCGGTGTATTTGGGGAAGCAAGAGGCAGCTCTGGGCAGCCCTGGTGTGGACTGGCTCTGATGGGAGAGAGGCCACAGGGAGGTTCAGCCCCGCCCTGGAAGCACTAATCTGTGAGCAGGGCTGCAGGCTCCTCCCCTCCCCACTTATGGCCTGGGTTTAAATCGGTGTTTGCCCGGCAAGTCCAGCTGATGACATGAGCAGCATGCCCCCCTGAGGGTCCACCTCCGCTGGCAAACAGGCGGTGGCTGGACAGCTCTGCGGCGTGACTGACCATTCACCTCTGCCCCTTGCAGGGATCATGCCTGGCCGCTACAACCAGGAGGTGGGCCAGACCATTCCTGTCTTTGCCTTCCTGGGAGCCATGGTGGTCCTGGCCTTCTTTGTGGTGCAGATCAACAAGGCCAAGAGCAGGCCAAAGCGGAGGAAGCCCAGAGTAAAGCGCCCACAGCTCATGCAGCAGGCCCACCCACCAAAGACCCCTTCGGTGTAACAGACCGGCAACCGTGAGCGCACAGAGAGCCTTTGTGACGGCCTTGGTGGGCGGGTAGGAAGATTTCCCCGGGGCCATCTGTTTAAAAGGGATCAAGCCTTCTGGTGCGGGTGTTTCAGAGTCTGCTCCGAGCAGGCCACCCCATGTGATGTGTGGCGGCTCGTGGCACCTGTCGAAGTGTCTTGTGGCCGGGGGCCCACAGGAGGGACTCAGCAAATCAGCCTTGAGTAACAGTTCACCCAGCCGCTGCATGCACCAAAGCCTGGAGGACTTCAGAAGGCCCCAGGTCTCCTGACCTGAGAGGATGTACTTTTAAACAAATGAAACAACTCTGACCAAGCTAAAATATGCTCGTTAAAGGCTATTTTCTATATTTATTGTTGGGAAAAAGTCACTTTAAAGACTTGTGCTATTTGGAAGCAAAGCTATTTTTTTGTTTGTCAATGGAACGCAGTTTTTTACTATTTCATTGTGAAGAGTAACACAGATTCCGTAACCTCCTTTTTGGTGAAAGGATGGACTGGGATTTGAAGGAACTTGCACAAATCTGTGAAACAGACCTTCGCTTATTTTTATAAGTACCAATCGCCATCATGCTTTGTAATTTGGGGTATTTGATTTCACCATTGTCGGTGAAGAAAATTTTCAATAAATACGCGTCACCTGTATGAAGCTATAAGAAACTGCGCAATGGGCTTTTATCCTACTGGTCCCTCTTCTCTTTGATGACAACCTAGAATGGGTTCTTCATCGGTGTGATTTCTTTTTTGGAGGTATCATTCATATACTATAAAATTCTCCATTTTGAAGTGTACAGTTGAGTGGTTTTAGTATACTCACAAGGTGGTACCGCCATCACTCCTGTAATCCCAGCACATTTTCATCACCCCCAGAGGAAACCCTGGCCCCTTAGCAAAGCAGCCTCTGTTCTGTCTCGCAGGCCAAGGCAGCCGCTAGGTGCTGGGTCCATGGACTTGCGTGTTTTTGGATGTCCTGTCCATGGAATCCTGCTGTGTGTGGTGCCTGTGACTGGCCGCTTTCACTCCGCATGTTTTGGGGCGCCTCCATGTGTAGCGGGTCAGGACTTAGCACCCTCTTATGGCCCCTGGTGTGGGTAGACCTCATTTTGTTTATGGTTCTTCAGTTGATGGACATCTGCATTGTTTCCACTTTGGGCTGTTGTGGAGAGTGCTGCTGAGAATTTGTGTAAGGGGTATGCGTGGACAGTTTTCACTTCTGTTGGGTGTATACCTGGAAGTAAAATCATCCACTCTACATTTCACTTTTTAAGGAACTGCCAAACTCTTTTATTCCGAAGGAGCTGGACTGTTCTAGTCCCCCCAGCTGTGTATGAAAGTTCCAGTTTCTCCACATCCTCACCAGTGCTTGGCACTAGCCATCTTCTTGATTATAGCCTCCAAGTAGGTGTGAAGTGGCATCTCTGTGGTTTTGATTTCCATTTTCCTAATGATGTTGAGCATCTATTCATGTATTAATTGGCTATTTGTATATTTTCTTTGGAGAAATGCCTATTTATATCCTTCACCCATATTTTAATTGGATTATCTTTTTGTTATTGAGTTGTCAAGAGCTTTTTATATATTCTAGATGTAAGTCTCTTATTAGATATGTAATTTGGAAGTATTTTTTTTCTTTCTGTTGGTTATTTTTTTCCCGATGGTATCCTTCGAAGCATAAGTTTTAATTCTGATAAGGTTTATTTTATGTACTAGGCTGGGCCCCAGGACTTATCTCTTAACTGTGCTGTCTCTTGAGAGCCAGTCAGCCAGAGACCCTGACTATAGGAATCTGGAAGGTGCTGCGTGGAGATGAGCCGAATGAGGACAGCCGGGAGCCCCACCCCTGCAGCCCCAGCTGTGTGAGGGACGTAGGGGCCTGAGGTCCGCCTTGTGCTTGTGCTTACCCGTCCTGTGCTCTTAAGGCTCAGGCCCCGGGCTCGCTGACCCCGAGGAAGCCTCCCATGAGGAGAGGCCCTGCAGTTGGTGAGCGTGGCCCAGCAACCATCGCACTGCATCTGCTGAGTGCTCACCACCTGCCCAGCATGCATGATGCTGTGGGAGTCTCAGCCACCCCGTGATGATCTCACCACTGTTTCTCAGATGAGAAAACCAAGGTGGGACCAGCATTCCAGCCCAGGTCTGGCCTGGGCCTGAGCTCTGAGCCCAACACCAGGCTGCTTCCCTTTCACCTATGGAGAGAAAGATGCCCATTTTCTGATAATAATGGGGGTGATACTTAGATATACTGAACACAGAATGAAGCAGGTTAAGGACTCTTATACATAGATCAAATAGAGGTTTCCAGATGAAGAATAAAATTCTTGATTTTTTTCCCAATGACTGGAGCTGCCACATAAGCGGGTATTAACTCACAGGATGTTGGTGTCATGTGCTGGCAACATGAGTGAAGTGCGGTGAGTGTCCTCGGCATATGTATTCCTGTGCCTTGCCATGGACTTACCAAGTCATGTGCTCTTTGGAAAGAGCCTAGAAATCAGTTTTAAAAGCTCCCCAGGGTAACCAGAGCTGTCATATGACTCGGCTATTCCACTGCTTGGGGTAGAACCACAAAAATTGAAACCTGGTGTTCAAACAAAATCTTGTATATGTAGCCGCACTATTCACAGTAGCCAAAAGTTGAAAAAAGCCACATGTGCATGAGTGGAGGAATGGATGAGCAGGACGTGGCCTTGCCCTGTGGCAGAGTATCAGCCCTCAGAGGAGCAGCACCGATATGCTGCCGGGTGGGCGAGCCTCAGGGACCTCCTGCTGAGGGAAGGAAGCCAGACACACAGACCGCACAGCGTGTGACCCTGCGTCAGTGGCCAGAGTGGGCAGATGCGGGGACAGAGCAGGTCAGTGGTCGCTCAGGACTGCGGGTGGGGCGGGGGTGGCTGCAGTGGGATGAGGGTGCTCTGGAACTAGACGGAGGGGTTGTTTGCACACCACTGTCAGTGTGCTGCTACTGAACTGTGCGCTTCAAATGGTCAATTTCATGTTTGACTTTTGCCACCAAAAAAACTCTAAATCTCCCCAGGGGATTCTTAAGAACAGGCAAGGTGGGAGCCCCCGGCTTGGAGACTAGGAGAGGCTCTCTGGCCCCTCGCCAGCATGGACCTGAGGGTCCGGACCAGGTGATGAAGGCCCTCCAGGGGCCCATCTGCTGCCCTGTGACACAGCCTCCCTGGAGCTGCTTCCTGTCACGGCCAAAGTGCAGTTCCCTCTTTCTCCACCTGCAGCAGGACTCTGATCCTAACTCGGGGTGACTCTCTGCCATTTCTCAAATGAGAAAAGTTGCTGTTCAGGCACAGGCACACTGGCTTCTGAGATTCACCCTCGTCTGTTTTCCAGAACTTTCTAATGTGAGCACACAGACCAGGGGAAAGGGGCTGAGGTTCACAGAATACCATGTGATCCATAGAGAAAGGGGGGACCCTCGGGGATGACTCCTGGTGACCGGTGCTCACTTCTTGGGGCAATTCAGGAGGAGGGATATGATTCCACATGTGGGGCACCAGGCTGGGCCTCTGCCTGCCTTGTCCACGAGTGCCACCTCGCTGTCCTCCCTCTGCCCCCAAGCCACCAGCCTGCCCACCCGCCCACACAGATGGGACCCTGCAGGGTGCCTCTCCACAGCTTGGGAAAGGTCACATAGCCCTGGGATGCCTCCGAGAGTGGATATCAAAGCTCCTTGGAATTAAGAGTTTTTTCCCTGTTGAGTGGAATTTCACAGCCCAGTGGCCAATTTCTAAGTCATGCACGTTAATGGGCAGCTAATGAGGGACCCAGGCAGGGACAGGGAGGTGCCCCAGGAGCCAAGATTAAGGAGTACAAAGCGGCGGCCGCATATGGGGGCCCACTGTCTTCTGCCACAGGAGTGGATTTGGGGGAGTAAGAGCCATGTGACTCTCAACTCCTGAGTGAGCCAGGGCTCAGTCTGCGCCCCTTCGCTTGCTGGGGCTGCTGTACTGCCTCTCCCTGCTGCCCCACAGCCTCTGAGGTGCCCTGACCTGGGTCTCTACCCTTGGGAACCCCAGAGCACCAAGGCCTTCTGGGGAGCACTTGCATATCCTGTCTGAGCCTTCACATGGGAACTGCCCACTCCCCTTAATGCTCCCCTCTTCCCCAAAGGTGCACAGACGTCTCACCTTCCTCCAGGAAGTCCCTCCGGACTCCCCCTCCCTCCTGGAGCCTCATGCTCCACTCTTCCTACCACTGGACGGTGCTTACTTGTCTAATTTTGATCTCCCCAGGGTTTTATCCCCTCCTCCAGAGCAGAGATCCCTTTCACCTCTGACCCCTAGGGCCTGGCCTGCAATAGGGACTCAAACAGTGTGTTGAATGACTGACAGAATGATTGAGAACACAGTCAGACCCTGGATATGTGGGGTGTAGTGTGCTGAATGGTGGCCCCTAAAATAAGTCTGTGCGCTGGAACCTGTGGTCTTTGCAGGTATAATTAAGGATCTCAAGACCCTCCTGGAACATCTAAGCAGGGCTAAATCCACATAAGAACCAGTGTCCTTAGGAGAAAAGGAGAGGATATAGACACAGGGAGAAGCCTCACAAAGGTGGAGACTGGAGTGCTGGACCTCCAGCCAAGGATGCCTGGAGCCCCCCGGAGCTAAGCAGGAAAAGCAGGAAGGACCCCCCCCCATTGGAGCCTTCAGGGGGAGTGGGGGGCCCTGACTGGCCACCCAGCAGGTTGCGCATTTATTGAACACTGGATGAAACCTGCTACAGTGTAAAAGGGAGTTTGCCCAAGGAGGTGACAGGGTCAAGACCGTTACAAGCTACGTGGAGAAAAGCCTTCGGGGCTGTGATGGACAGACAAGGCCTTAAGACATTTAACTAAAAGCAGTGGTTCACGAGGGACCCAGGCTAGCAGCGTGTCAGCATCACCTGGGAGCTGGTTAGAAATGCAGATTCTCAGGCCTCGCCCCAGACCCCTATGTTAGAAACGCTGACTGGGTCCCCACAATCTGTTTTAATTTTGCCCTCGAGGGAACTGTGCCTGGGTGCCAGGAATAAGCAGGTTTACTTTGGTTTAAGATCTGACCTTCATGGGCTTGCATTTTCCAGAACGGAACCCTTCCCAGTATTCAGCCATCTTAACTGATGGGTTGGGTACTCAGAGTGTAGTGGGGGGCCCAGCAGCAACCACCTCTCAGAACTTGTAGAAATGTGGAATCTCGGCTCCACCCAATATGGAGTGAATCGGTCTGCATTTCAAGGCCCCCAGGTGACTGGTGTGCACGCTTGCCCGTGGGAGCATCTCCACGAAGCACCTGCTAACAGCCCGAGTGTTGCATGCACAGGGCCTTAGCCTCCCAGGCCCCTGCGAGAGGGCACACGGACCCCTTAGGCTCAGAGAGATGAAACACTGCCAGCAACTAACGCTGACTTCCATGCCCATCCCCCACCCCCAGACAGGCAGCCTAGGGAGGCGGCATTAGAGAGCCGACTCCAGGTCACTGCGTGCAGTCAGGTGCAGGCGCTCCCCTTGATCTTTCCAGCTGAGCGCCCTCTAACCCGTGGCAGCAGGAGGGCCCTGCCCCTAGGGAGGGGCCTACTTCGGAGTTGGGGGAGGGAGTCTTAAGACCCTTTCTCAGGCCAGAAGTCTCAGAAGTTGCGAGATCTGGGGACAGAAGGCCTTGACCTCTTGTCCTGTTACTCTAGGTTTGGGGACTTGAACCCCAACACATGCTCTGTAGGGCTCCTTTGATTCATGACTCAGTTACCCCACCTCCCCTCCCGAGCAGAGCTAGAATCTTCCTTCTTCCACCCCTCCTGGCCCAAGAAACGCTGCTGAACCTTCCGGTGCCAGCTCCAGTCCCACCCCGATGGCCGAGGACTGTCTGGCTGTGAAGCTTGGGTTTGGTGGTAAGGAGCAGGGGCTGGAGGCTGAGGGGCGAGAGCAGGGTGGGCACTCTGGAAGGGAAAGAGAAGGAGGCAGGGGTCTGGTGGCCTGGGGGTCGGGTGGGAGGGCAGTAGGAGGACAAAGGGGTTCACGTTGGAGTGGGCACATTTCCTGAGGGATTCTGGTGAGGACCAGCAGTGAATGGGGATCACACAGGAGCAGAAGCGTAGGAAGTGGTAGGTGGGGCCTTGGGGCTGGGAAGGGGGAGAAGTCCTGTCCCAGCCGGGGTGATCCGTGGCTGGGAGGAAGGTGCCACCACTCCCCTTTCCCGCCCTCTGCTGCTTCTAGCCATGGAGGAACAGACCGGGAGAAGCAGAGGCCTTTTGGAGGAGCCCACCCCTGCGGCCGCCAGCCCGGGTCTGTCCTCGCTGGGCGCTGTCTTCATTCTTCTCAAATCTGCGCTGGGGGCTGGTCTGCTCAACTTCCCCTGGGCCTTCCACAAGGCGGGTGGTGTGGCCCCTGCCTTCCTGGTGGAGCTGGTAAGGCCCTGGGAAGTGTTTTGAGGGGCCCTCTGGGGCAAGTAGCAGCTGGCTTTTGTTTTTCCGGCAGGACCCTTAGCCTTGCTCTGCACAGCAGTCTATCTTAGAAACTATCCCCTTGGGGTTCTGTTTTCTGTCCCATTCAGCTTGTGAGGGAAGGTAGTCCCACTGCAGACTCAGGTGGAGAATATCCCACCACAGGGTGCTATGCGGCCAGGCAACACCGAGAACCCCCCTTGTCTGTAGTCACCTGCAAACGAGCCTGGCCTTTCCGCCATCTCTGAGCAGCTGCCCGGCCAGGTCAAGTCCCATGTGCAGAGATCAGCTGGGCCAGGCCCTCTGCGGGGTCAGAAGTGTTCAGTCACTTCTGCATGTTGAGTCCAGATTCTCTTCCCCAAAAGCCAGGGGCTGAACATCCTCAGTGAAGAGCTGCTAATTAGCACAGGTTCATCCTATTTGCAAAGGCTCCTTTCCCCTGGCCGGCAGGAGCCGCTGGGTCTGGTGGGAAGCTCTTTGACAGGCATTATCACAGACACTTCTGTATGGCAGCCAGCTGATACCCGGTCCTAACCGTCTGTGGGCCACAGAACCTTTCATGTCCTGGAAACTGCTGAATCCTGCGCTGTGTAGTGTCCCCAGTATGGGCTGAGCACCTGCTGTGGTGTTGGATGGCTGCTATGACTGTGGTCCCCGGCCTCATGAAGCTTGTTCTAATGCAGAACTCAGACGAGATGCAAGAAGTCAAATAAGATAGTCTTGGGGTGGGTGGTGCTGGGGGGCCTTGGGACAAGGATGGGATGACATGGCACACAGGGTGGTCAGAGAAGGCCTCTCTGAGGACGGGATGTTGCACCAAGCCCAGCCGAAATGGAAGAACTCGTGTAGATGCATGTGAGGGGCACCACAGCCGGGTCTGGGTGCTTGCTTGGAAGGGCTGCCCACCCAGAACAATGAGGAAGAAGCCAGGTCTCCAGCCACAGAGTCAGTGATAAAGCTGGTGGGGCTAGGGGACAGGGTCACGGTCAGGCACAGACGGGGTGAGTCCCAGGGCCACAGCCCGGCCGTGAGCAGAGATGCGGATCCCCTCCACGGGCACAGGGGCTCCTGGCTGCTGGCAGGAAGGCTGATGCCGATTCAGCAGGTCTGGCTGGGCCCGAGCACATGCATTTCTGATGCGCTCCCTGGGGGCACATACTGTGTGCAGTGTTATCCCTGCCTTGAATAGACTTGAGGAGAGGGGAGCCCAAACACGCATAAGCGTTTACTCCCGACAAGGAAAGGATTGGGCTGGTAAAGGTGACCCCCAACCCTGCCCTTGCCCAGTGACAACCCTCCCCTCTGCTCCCCTCTCCTCCCCTCCCCTCCCCTCAGCCTGTGAGCCCAGCCCCTCAACAGTGTTTAAAAATCTGTCCTACCAGGAAGCTCTGGGTTTCCGATGCCTCATTTGTCCAACCAGGGCTGAACGGTATGAATCCCAGATTCACAGACTTAACGCCCGGGAGGCCTTGACAATCTGCCTGCTCTGCAGCTCCGGGTTCAGGGTAGGCCAGGGGTGGTGGCATGGCAGGTAGAGGTCTCTGGGCTGTAGGCTGTCTCAGTGACAGGCCCGGGGGTGCGGGGAGCCCTATCAGAGTCCCAAGGGGCAAGTGGCTCGGGTGGAGGACTACGGGCTCCCCCTGGCCACAGTTCCGTTCCACAGGTCTCCTTGGTCTTCCTGATCAGCGGGCTGGTCATCCTGGGCTATGCCGCCTCCGTCAGCGGCCAGACCACCTACCAGGGTGTGGTTGGAGGGCTGTGCGGCCCCACCATCGGGAAGCTGTGTGAGGCCTGCTTCATCGTCAACCTGCTCATGATCTCTGTGGCCTTCCTCAGGGTGATCGGGGACCAGCTGCAGAAGTGTGAGTTCCTGTGCTGGAGTCCGCTGTAGCCCCGGGGTGCGGGACCCTTCTGACCGCAGGGGCTTCTGGTTGATGAGAGGATGCAGACACTGGGCCTGGCCCTGCGGAACAGCAGAGGCCGAGACCTCCCCTGAGGTCCTAATGCTGTGGGAAGGGAGACCCAGAGTTAGGAATTCTCTGCACGATGAGAGGTGTGGACAGAGGAGCTGTGCTGACCAGTTCAGAGATGGGAAGCGAAGCCAGTGTGAGCAAGCCCCTGCAGAGGGAACCGGCAACACCTCGATTAACACTAGAGCCCCCGGCGCCTTGGCATCTGGGCCTGCTGTCGGTGTCCCTGTAAGCCCTGCTTTAGCTGCTACCAGTTTTGATATGTTGTTTTCATTTTTGTTTCATTCAAAATATTGGCTAATTTTGGCTGTGATTCCTTCTTTGGCTCATAGGATGTTTAGAATTGTGTGGTTCAGTTTCCAATTATTAGGGGATTTTCCACATCCTTTGGCATTTCTACCTTAATTGTATCATGACCACAATATGCTCTGTGATTTCAATCTTTGACATATGAGACTTGCTCAGTGACCCCCAACATGGTCTGTCATGGTGACCCCATGTGCTGCTCTTAAAGGATATGTATTCTGCAGTGGTTGGGTACAGTGTTCTAGAATTCTCCATTAGGTCAAGGCAATCCACAGCTTCGATCAGATCTTCCATAACTTTACTGATTTTATTTGGGGGGGAGGGATCTAGTTACTTTATCAGTTTCTGAGAGAGGGGGTGTTAAAATAGCCAGCTGTGATGGCAGATTTTCTGTTTCATCCTTTAATTCTCTCCATTTTTGCCTGGTAGTTTTTGAAGCTCTGTTATTAGGCACATACTGTGAATTGCCCTTTTATTTTTTTTTTGAAATATTCTTTTTTTGTCTCTGGTGATACTTTGGCATTAAACAACCTGCTCTGCTATGAATGTATCCATTCCAGCTCCCTTAATAGTGTTTATGCGTTACTTCCTTCCCCATCCTTTCACGGTGAACTTAACTGTGGCTGGGGATTTTAAAATGCATTTCTTGTAGACAGCATATGGTCAGGTTTTGCTGTTTATCATCTTGATGATCTCAGGCTTTTAATTGCAATGTATTTATGGATGAAGTTGGATTTTGGTCTGCTATTTTGGTATTTCGTTTGTTTTCTGTCTCTTGAACCATGAATGAAAGGTCCCCAGGCACTGAGATATTGACAGTAAAGGCTTCTATGGTTCGGGAGGCACTTGCACCCCCAAAACCGACAAGGTCGGTAAACCTGAAGCTTCCAGTGGGTGAATAGGCACGAGAACACCCTGCCTGCCAGGGGCAAGTAGGAGTCCTGTCAAGGTTCAGCTCTGGCCATCTGGGGGTGGTATGTTGAGATGCATGGTGACTATGTTCAGACCTAGTAGTTGGCCCCCTGGAGTGGTTGGTCATTGATTAGAATGCATGCCACCCTGGCTCTGGGCAGACTGACTGGGAAGACAGGGCATTGTGTGTTTCTGGTTAGATATTTGGGGGGGTGTCTTTCTGTAGGCAGGCCAGGCTTCTTGCGAGGAGGGCTGAGTAAAGATTGGGGTGCTTGGGGGTGTTATTGCATTCATGGGGCACAAATGATTTGACCGTGAGTGGCTGTTGCTGAGGACGTCAAGGATGTCCTAAACTAAGGGCTCAAGAAGGCACTGGTGGAGCCCAGATGTCAGAGCTGGGGCTTCCCGGCTGCAGGAGATCTAGATGGATGCGAGGGAGGGGCTTATGCCACTGCTCCCAGATCTCCATGCACCTTTGGGGGTGGGTATTCCCTTGGTACCTCTGTCCGCCGTGCGGGTGCCTGAATAATGGCCTCTGAATGGGACTCTGCCCTTGCGCCTGCTCAGTAGAAACAAGCTGTCTGATAAGGCATTTATTTCCCTGCACGGCTGGCTTTACCAAGCATTGGGCAACAACAGAGAAGGGTTACATTACAGCAGCGTGAGCACCCCCAAGCGGCCATGACCTAGTTCCCAGCCTGCCATGGGACTGTGGGGGCCGCCTCGCCCCAGCAGTCGCAGCCCTAAGCTGTCTCTCTGAGCTCTGCCCTCCCCCATCTGTTTTGCCTCTTTCATCAGCTCCAAATTCTGTCTTATTCTGGCAGATAGAGACAGTTCCCGGGTCTCTGGTGTTCCCTCACTGAGAGGTCGGGGGTGGGGTCTGTGTTTCCTCCTCTTGAACCAGAGTGACAGCCTGGCTCGGCGCATGTGACACTGTTGGCTCAGACCCGGCCTTTAAGAGGTCTTGGTCTCCAGGAGCCCAGCTGCCGTGGACTAGCCTGCCAGTGGGTCTGCAGGTAGGGGCCCCGAGGCTGCAGAAAGGGCCCCCGGAGCTCAGGCATCCCCGCCAGGCACCCAGTGTGGGTGGAGCCATCGAGGACCCTCCAGACCAGCCCTCCCGCCAGCCAAATGCCCCCAGGTGACCCCAGCTGATCCCATGGGGAGCAGAGTTGGCCAGCTCAGCACTGCCCTGATTCTTTACCTCAATTCGTGACACACAGTAAAGTGGTGGCCCTAGGCCACTGTATGGGGAAGTTTATTGTACAGCAGTGGCAGAAACGTGGCTCTGATGCAGAGCAGCTCGGCCTCCCAGCACTGCCACCAAAGAGTCGCTGCAGGTCCCTGCACGGCCCCATGCGCCCCTGGGCTCTGGGGCAAAAACAAGGAGGCTCCGTTCCCAGAGCAGAAGGGCCCAGGGGCCTAAGGGCAGCCTCCTCATCTGTGTTTGCCACTGGATCTGGCACTCAGACCAGTGCCTGGGCACGGAAGGGGCTCCGTGCATGTCTGTTGGATGAATTTGTGCAGGCGGAGGCCTTTCTCCTTAGTGGCATGTGACAGGAACCCCATCAAGCTTGTCACCCCCATATCTATCTTTAGGCTCGGGGGGCTGAGTGGTGCCCATGCAAACCCCACCCAGGGATCAAGAGCCGGGAGTCCTGTGGCCGGGGCTCTAACAGTGGCCGAGGGCCACGCAGGGCTTCCGGTAGCTCCTGCCCTCCTTCCTGCCAGTGTGTGACTTCCTGCTGCCCGGGGGTCCGCTGGCCCCGCAGCCCTGGTACATTGACCAGCGCTTCACCCTGACCCTGCTCTCTGCTCTGGTCATCCTGCCTCTGTCCATCCCACGGGAGATCGGATTCCAGAAGTACACAAGGTATGGGGCTGAAGGAGCTTCTGGGCAGGGTGCTGGGCCGGGGGGAGAAAGATTAAAGAACTACCCAAGTAATGCACAGGTGGTGGGCCGCTAAGGTTTTGTGACTTAATTATTACAGACTTTTCTGCACATGCATGTGCACCTACAGGCAGGGAGATAGGGTCACAGACACACATACTTCCTTCATCTTATAGTCTGAGTCTTAAAGCATACTTTTGGAAAAAGTATAAAGTATAAAGTCTGGCAAGATACTCAGATGAGTCTGCAACCTGCCCGTCCCTGTTACGTCCTGACAGTAGACTTCTCACCTTACAACAGGACAGAGGAACAGCAGGCAGGGCAGCGCCCCAGCCCGTGCTGGGCTCTCTTGTCCCTTCCGGTCATGTCGGGGTCCTCCTCCCTGCTGTGTGGCCGAGGGACAGTGCCCTGACTTAGGTGCCAAATCCCAGCGGCTGCAGCCCCCACGGCCTTGTGGGTTCCGGCCAGTTAGGAACTCGACAGATGTGACCTCTGGGCCTCAGAGCGGCCCTGCCAAAGTGGCCATCCCACCGTCGCCGTGCATGGACAAGGAAGCGAGACCCAGAGTCCTGAGCACTTTGCCGGACACCTGGCTGGTGTGGGGAGCTGGCATTCAGACCCCACTCTGGCTCCCCAAATCCTTAGTGGTGGGCTGGAGTCCCATGCACTTGCGCTCACTGACGGCAGAGGCCCCCTAATGCACACTGTGTGTCAGCATCCTAGGCACCCTGGCTGCTTGCTACCTGGCCCTGGTCATCACGGTGCAGTACTACCTCAGACCCCCAGGCCTCATCAGTGAGCCCCGCTCTGCACCAGGGTGAGTCTGAGGGGCTGGCTTTCTGAGGCTCGCAGGGGTCAGGGGGCTACTCGGAGGCAGGGCACCTATGCTGCCCTCCATGGCCTGCACAGATCTCTGGCTCCCCCCATGCAATCCCCTGTGTCTCTGATGCAGTAGAGTCCAACAAAGGCCCTTTCCTGCTTTCAAACTGAGGTGGCTCTTTTCGTAAGGACCAGGGACAGGCCGAGGGACACACAATCACCCCCTCCCCTGAGCCTGGGCTCCTAGGCTTTGCAGTGTGTCCCCCTGACACCGTGGAGGCAGCTAACCATCAAGCCACAAGCGCCCGGGAAGAAGGACAGGGAAGCAGGGCGGCCGCGTGACCGACTGCCTGAGCGAGGCCAAGTGCATGGGTAGGGTGGGTGTCCTGTAGGGACGCAGAGCTGTGGAGAGGATTTCATGTTTGCCAGGAAGCCACTGCAGGGGTTGAGCACAACAGGGACTGGAAGTCATATCTGGTGCTCACAGGGCCACCAATGTGGGCATGTGACCTGTGCAGTGCCAAGGGCCCCGTGCCCAGGTTAATGCCCAGTGTTGCCATCCTGAAATTCTTAATCACTTTCAAACAAGGGGCTGGCATTTTCCTTTGGCACCAGGTCTTGCAAATTATGTGGCTCCTCTTGGCTGGTGGATTGGAAGTGGATCATAAAAGAGAGAAGAGTCCAGGGCGGCTCTGAGCTTTGGGCTTGATCACTGGGAAGGACGGCCATGCCTTTTCCTGGAGAAGTGCAGGGGGCTGGGGGAGGAGTCAGGTGGGGATGTGTTCAGTTGGAGATGGCTTTGTGACACCTACACAGAGGTGGCAGGTAGCCAGTCAGACCTGTGTGTTTGGAGTTCAGAGAGAAAGGTCCAGGCTGGAGGGAGATATGTTTGTGTCGGCCCAGAGATGGCATTGAAGGCCGCAGCCCGGGTGAGGACTGTCCCCTGAGCCAAAGGTACCCTGTGTGGCACCAGGAGGTCAGGGAGAGGAAGAGGAGCTGTTGAGAGACGGGGAGGGATGGTGAGTTAGCAGGATGCCTGCTGCCTGGAGCTGCTGTAACAAATGACCACAAACTGGGTAGCTGAGAACAGAAAATTTCTCTCTCAGTTCTGGAGGTTGGAAGTCCAAAATCAAGGTGTTGGCCAGGCCGGCTCCCTCTGAGGGCTGTGGGGGGTGAGGGGGGATCCTTCCTGCCTCTCCCGCTTTGGTGGCTGCCAGCAGCCTTTGTATCCTCGCTACAGGTGCACCGTCCCCCTGTCTGCCTCTGTCTCATGGCCGTCTCCCTTGACTGTGCGTCTGCTCCCTCTTCTTAAAGGACACCAGTCATTGGACTAGCACCCAGCTGACTCTAGTATGACCTGATGTTAATGTAACTAATGACATCTATTTCCAAATAAGGCTTCAATCTGAGGTTCCCAGTAGGTGTACATTTTGGGGGACACTATTCAACCCAGGATAGATGATAATTAGCAAGTCAGTGAACAAAATGTAAAGAAATTTGGAGTGATTGCCACCATATGCTACTCCTGAGACACGTAGACCTGAGCCCCAAGTGTTGGATTTGGCCATGGAGGCTGCTGGTGACTGCTGGGCTTTGTCAGAGCAGGAGAGGGTGTGAAGGCCCAGGCAGAGGGGGTTCAGGAGAGAGCACAGGAGGCAGGAATGAGCAGGAGCTCAGGGGAACAGAGGCCAGCAGGTACTGTGTATGCCCCACTGCACTGTATGTTCCCAAGGTGCCAGATGCTGGCACCTATAGTGACTTGTCCGAGGAAGCTGGAGGGCCACCGTTCAGGGACCACTGAGAGGCCCTGACCCGAAACCTCTGCCCTGTGCCCCTCTCAGCCCTCTTGAGAGCGTGGGTGGAGGTCAAGCCATCCTTGCCCTACTGGGGATCTGTTTGGTGGATGCTGTTTGTGCCCATGAGCCCCTGACTTCCGAGGGAACAGGCAGCTGGAGAGGGAGGTTGGGAGCCCCTTCTGGCTTGCCCTGCCCAAGTTCTTCCTACGTGCAGAATGTCGGGGTACCAGATGTCAGCACAGGTGTATTTATAAAGTGTAGCATTTAACATGGATCCTTTCCATCCCCCCAAACCTGGTAGTGACAGTGATGATTAAGAATATATCTTACAGTCAAGCTTAGTTCATCTTCTGGGTATTGTTTAAAACTCACCTTCAAATTTAAGGCTGTTTTGAGTTTAACTTCTTGTAATAAACACCTCTTCTTGTCTGTTTACAGTCCTTCCTCGTGGACCTCCGTATTCAGTGTCTTCCCCACCATCTGCTTCGGATTTCAGGTAATCTGCACGTCTGGATTGGAGAGCGTGGCATTTGCCGGCTGTGGTGATTCCTGGCTCCCCTGGGAGAGCGTGGCCTCCCTGGCAGGAGAGAAGGTTGCAGACTTGTTCTAGGAAGACATGGGCTGGTTCTGGGAAGGGTGCATGACTGTTGAACTTGGGACCCCAGCCGCACCGACAGCCCACGGCAGCAGTGGTGTGTTGGGTCCAGGGCACAGTGTGGGGATCGGGGACCTATCCTGTCCTCTGCGAAGTCCCCCAGGACTGTCACCACCACGGGAGACCTAGAGCCGCCCATAGGTCCACAGGGGCCCTAGAGAGGCTTGTAGGCCAGGAGGGCCGGGAGGGGAGCAGGCGGCTGCATGGTGGGGGTTCAGGGCAGAATCCACAGGGTCTCTGATGGAAGGCCACCGAGGGAGGACGGGTTGTGTGTGTGGAGTCCAGCAGAGGGCTTTTGTTGTAGCCCTGGGTGGGCAGATTCAGACACTCCCTTTTTCAGGCGCTGATCCCAAAAGGAATATTGAAGAATGTGTGGGAGGCGGCTGCGCGTTGGTCCAGCTAGAGCAGCCAGTGAGCCCCAGTGGGCGGGGCAGGGGCGAGACTGGCTCAGAAGGGCAGCTCCTCCTGGGGCCGGGGGTGCAGGCGTGGGCTCTGCTCCCTGCCTTCTGGTCTCTCGGGGTTTTCCAGGCTCCTAGCAGGTGGCGGCTGACTCCCTCCTCTCACTTTATTTTAGGAAAGATTTGCCTCTCTCCTAAAAACAGCATCTACCCACCACCACCACCACTACCACCAAAATATCCCAAAGTAAAGCCCAGTTTGCAAGGGGAAGTGGTCCCAGGCCAGCAGTGCCCTCTCAGCTCCCAGCCTGGGCTTTTCTTCCCCTTCCATCAGCTGGCTCCTACTTCTTGTTCTTTATGAACCAGTTTTGAAAGATCCTGAAACATTGCCATTTTCTCTGCCTTATAAATGAGTTGATGTATCGCTCCTGGGACTTAGCAAGCTGCTTACAGGAGTTTCTCACATTTCTTCCTGCACACGCAATATTTTGAAAGGTCTGAAGCAATGATTTGGCTGTCATCCGTTGTCTGGGTGGAGCATCCGCACCCCTCTCTCCCAGGCCCGGGCACCATATGGTGTGGCCGGCTTGCGCTGGGGGGCCTGCTTTCCAGATGCTCACAAGGGGGTGTCCCTCACCTTTGCCTTGGCTCCCACGTCCGATTCTCCTAGCAACCGAGGCTGGGCTGCAGTTTCCAGGGACACGGATGCAGAGAAGGGGAGCTGGGCAAGGGAGCATGTGGCTTGCAGGGTGGAGGCGGGGCTGAGGACCAGTTGTCAACTGTGGGGACAGAGCAGGGCTGCGGGGGCCAGCTTGGAGAGGCGGGTGGGGCTGGGGAAGGGTAGAGGTGGGTGAGGAGGGCAGGGGGCAGGGTGAGGCGTTGGGACAAGGCTGGAGGCAGCATGGGGAAAGGGAGGCCACGTGTGTCATCAGGAGCTCTGACCTGGTTCAGACATTGCACTTCTCCCACATTCAGCAGTGGGGTGCACCCCACACCGCCCCACCTGTGCAGGGTCAGTACATGGGGCCTGGAGGGGCAGAGTGGGGTGCAGGCTCTGCTCCCAGCCATGCTGGCCACACTTGGTACTTGTCTCTGCTGTTCCTGAGATATAACTCCCAGCCACCAGCGTGACCCTCTGGAGGGTGTGACTCTGCGTTTAGTCTGCTCAGAGTCATGCAGCCGCCACCCAGCAGCTGAGACCACTGCCCTTGCCCCAAAGCAAACCCCTGCCTGTTCCCAGGTGCTCCCCATCCCCCTCATTGCTCCCCAGCCCGGCAAACGTGACTCTGTCTCATTTCTGTGGGTTTGCTGGTTCAGGGCATTTCATATAGATGGAATCGCACAGCATGTGGTCCGTGTGACCGGCTGCTTCCACTTGGTTTTCAAGATCACCCATTCTTCTTCGTTCCTTCTTACGGGTGAATGATACTCCTGTGCGTGGACAGACCAGCTTGCTTATCCATTCCTCCCTGGTGGGCTGCCTCTACTTCTTAGCTGTTCTCTGCCCTGCATTCTGTCACTGAGAATGGGGAGCCTGCACACGGCCCGCCGCCATCCTGGGCGCCGTCCCGGCAGGCACCCCAGCTCAGGGGACGTGCTTTATTACCTCGTATGAAACCAGGAGAAACGCGGCCCAGGCATGTGGGACAGAGGGGCAGGACTCCCTCCTGCCACCCCTGGGTTCTTCTCCTGCAAGGGCACTTCTGCTGGGTCAGGAGGGAAGAGCATTGGTCCCCTGAGCCCCGCTGCCTGTTGGTCAGGGTCCCTGCGAGGTTAAGCCCCCACGACCTGGCCGAGCCTCCCTGAGGTCTCTGGCACAGAAAGATAAATGTGCACAGGGACCCTGAGGCTGGTCTGTCAGGGAAGGTGTGTGAGGTCACCTGGGCTGGACGCCCCTGTGGCTGGAGTCAGGAGGACTGAGGCCGGGGTGTGCCAGCCCCTCCCCGATGTGCAGTCTGTGAGGGCGCACCTGCGTTGGGCTTGTTTATGTGGCACCCCAGACTGGCACAGAGTAGAACTGAGAGTGCCCCAGAGCTGGCACTGGGTGGAGGGGGGCCTCCCGCTGCCAGGTGGGCTAACGGGGTGGGTGAACGAGTACCCCCTGGTACGTTCCGCAGCTGTGGGCCAGGCTCTGTGCTCTGCATGGGCCAGGCCGATGCGGTCCTTGCTGCCACGCGGATGACAGATGCTGAACGAGCCAGCTGAGGTGTGCTTACCTGGGCTGTGGGGACATGGGGGAGAGCCACCTGGCCCAGTTTGCGTGGCTTTCCCCAAGGAGGAGGAGGAGCTGGCAGGAGCAAATCCCAGGCAGAGGAAACAGCATGAGCAGAGGCCCTGAGGCAGTGAACAGGGACGGAGGTGGAGAGCATGGCTTTCGAGCCTGGAGAGGGGGCAGGAACAGACGATCGGCAAGTCTGGTTTTGGTCAGAAGTGAACGTGGTGGTGGGCACCCCTTCCAGGAGCCCGGGAAGACCCTGGACCCCAGAAGGGATGCACGGAGCTACAGCAGCACCTCCCATCCTGGCCGCTTATGAGGTGCCACAGTCCGGGGCCTGCCCATGTAAACGATGTCCCCGTCTCAGGGGGACTCCTGGCATGGGCTGTATGTAGTTTATTTAAAAAATTTTTGGTAATATATTAAGTCCCCATGAACCATGTTAATCCTAAGTATGTGTGCTCCATGTCACTGTCACCCCAGTCAGGGTACAGAACACTGTCAGCCCCCTACGCTCTGGGATCCCTCATGACATTGTCCATCAAAGGCACCCACCCAACCTACACTCTTCTCCCTGCTGTCACCATAATGGTTGTTCTTAGCTGGGGACGATTGTTGCTTTGCAAGGGACATTTGACAATGTCACAATTTAGGGGTACTCCTGACATCCAGTGGGTTGAGGCCACAGAATGGTCAGCCTCCCACAGTGCACAGGACCCCCATGTGGTCAGTAGTGCTGTGACTGAGAGCCCCTGTCCTGGCCTGTTTGGTGTCTAACTTGAACTTCACATACATGGAAACATTCTCCGTTGTCTGGCTGCTTCTGTTCCACGTGACGGCCGCGATGCTCTTCTGTGTTGAGGCGTGTAGAGGGCGCATCCCTTTTCAGCGCTGTGTGGTATTGCACGCGTGTGTATCTGGTGACGCACCTACACCTTCTGCTGTTGGTGGACATTTGGGTCATTCCCCATGTTTAGGGACACTGGTGCTTTCTAGATGGCCCAGGTGATTCTCACAGCCTGCTGGCTCGAGTCCCACCGAGGCTGCCCTTCCTTGCAGTGTCACGAAGCTGCCGTCTCCGTCTACTGCAGCATGCGCCACCAGAGCCTCGCGCACTGGGCCCTGGTCTCCGTGCTGTCCTTGCTGGCCTGCTGCCTCGTCTACTCGCTGACAGGTGAGGCGTTGTTGTGTCGGGCACCAGGCGCTGGGGAGAGAGCATCCAGGGGAACAGGAATGAAAAAGAGTGGCGAGACCTTTGCCCATGAATCCTTAACACCCCGTAGGAAAGTCCCCAGTTCGTGGCTGAGGAAGCTGGGGCTCCGGGAGCTTTCTCGGCTTGCCAAAGGGCTCCTAACTGGACGGGCAAGGCTGAGCCCCAGACCCTGCTCTTCCACGCTGCTCCCTGCCACGGCCCGTCTGCCTGCTGACGGACAGCCACGGCCATTGTAGTGTTACATCAGGGTAGCAGTTTATAAAACTATCTTGGAGTCAGTGGATTTGGGCACTGCAGGCAGAAGGTCTTCAAAGGTGATGAAGTGTGGCTCAGAGAGGGCACGATGCGCCCGTGGTCACACAGCTTGCCACAGTGCAGCCCAGCTCTCAGACTCAGGCTGACTTCTAGGTGGCCACCATCTTCCAGGCCAGCGGCAATTCCTTTCATCCACCTGTTGGGGCCTCTGACTCAGAAAACTCTTGGACTGCTGCCAATGTGTCTGGTGCCTCGGACTCCCAGGATCACCCAGTAAGCTTGTGGGTGACCATTCCTGGTAGGGGAGTTCCCTGTCGGTCTATGGACCTTGGGCTGGAGGCGATTGAGAGTCACCTCCAGACAGGCCAGGCCTAGGGCCAGCAGGACCACGGGACCTCAGAAAGGGCCTGGAGAGAAGCCCAAGCAAGCCACCGCCCTTGGCCAGAGATGAATGTCTCAGGACAGGGCAGGTGAGCAGGATTCTGGGTGCAGTGCTGGCAAAGGTGCAGGGGCCTGGTGCTCCGGCCCAGGGCTGCTGTTCCCAGCTGTGTGGTGCTGGTGGGGGCCGACTCCCTGGGTCTTGGTTTTCCCCAGCAGGAACACTGCCGGCTGCTCGTTAGGTACCGTCAGAGTGGGACGGATAGGGCTTGGGGGGCAGGGATATGGTTCCCAAAGGGCTGCATGCTCTCCAGGAAGGCCCAGCCCAGGAGCAGGCCCCTGGCGCCAGCACTGTGAGGGGTTTGGAAGATGGCTAAGCGCTGGTTCGGCCCAGCAGGAATTTTGAGTCAGAAGAAGATCACGTAGGCTGAGGACAGGAAGCTTGGGAAACGCCAGAACAGAGAAGCCTTCCAGAGCCTGCTGTCGGCTCCCTGGGAAAGCCCTGGGGGCAGGAGGAGCCGGCTGCTGTCAGTGCCTTGCGACTGAAGGGGGTTCGCCAATCGGCTCCCCTGGCTTCCACCCTTTCTACCTCCCAGGAGCTTACGGCTTCCTGACCTTTGGGACAGAAGTTTCTGCTGACATCTTGATGTCCTACCCAGGCAATGACGTGGTCATCGTCGTCGCCCGGGTCCTCTTCGCTGTCTCTATCGTGACAGTCTACCCCATCGTGCTCTTCCTGGGCAGGTGAGGCCTGGCTCTGCCGGGACATCACTCAGCCCAGGGCGTTAACCCATACTGTGGTTTGGCGCATGCTGGGCGCTGTGCTGCCGTCGTGTCCACTTCACAGAGGACAAAACGGAGGCAGAGAGAACCTGGGTAGTTTACCTGGAGTCGCGCTCCTGCAGGGCTAGAGCCTGGCCCCCTGCGCGGCTCCTCTCCGTGGGCTGCCTGGCGTGGACTGAGCCCCTGAGGGTTGGCGCGGTCCCTGGTGTGGAGCCGGAGCCCTTGTCAGTGTACAGGGTGATCGGGAGGGACTCCGGGCACCCAACAGCAGGCAGATATGGGCCAGGAGCCTGGGAGCCTGTGTGTGGCCTCCAGGTTGGTGATGCAGGATTTCTGGAGGAGGAGCTGCTGCCAGGTGCGTGGGTCTGGGGGGCTGACCGACCCCTCAGGGCTGAGACCCCGGACGCTGCTGACCGTCGTGTGGGTCGCCGTGACGCTCGCCCTGGCCCTGGTGCTGCCTGACCTCAGTGAGATTGTCGGCATCATCGGTGGCACCAGCTCTTCCTTCATCCTCACCTTCCCAGGTGAGGCGCCCCCTCTGGGCCCCACCGCGTGGCCTGCATGCAGCCCTCTGTGGGCATCCTGTGCTGCAGGTCAGCATCTGAGGGTGGGCATCCTGCGTAGGTAGGATGGCTCTAGCCCCGTCTACAGCCAGACACTGGCTGGGGACTTGCATACCTTCTCGCACTAAACATCTCGGGGTGCATCGTGGACATACTCATGGGGCACCGTAGGCCTCCCAGGCCCCATGGCCAGTGCACGGCAGGGCTCAGTCATCCTCACAGCGCTGTCTACCCTCCTGCTGCTGCTGCTTGCCAAGGGATTTTGTTTTATTTTTTAAAAATGTTTTCAATTACATGAAATTCATGTGGCTCAAAGGCGTCCATGACAAGACATCTTCTCCCACCTCGTCCCCCAACCTGGGAGGCAAAGACGGTTTCTGGGATGGACGGTTTCTTACAAAGGCTTCCTGGTATTAGTGAGCCATGAGGAAAAGTCCCAGCACAGCCGGCTGGAGGGTCGTCCTGGGGGGAGGCCTGGGGGCCGAGGCTAGAGGGTACTCCCAGGGAGGGGCGCCGAGGGGCCGCCTGGTGCGGGACCCCGGAGGGAAGTGCTGCCAGGCTGAGGGCTGCGGCCAGACTGCCTCCTTCCCCGCTGCTGGTCCGGGTCTGCTGGCCTCAGCCTCGCTTATCTGGAGCCTTAAACAGTAGTGAGTCGGGCTCCTGGGTGGTGGAGCCTTCCACCTCCAGCTGTGCCCCATGGACAGGTTTGGGATGGCGCAGTGCCGAGAGACCGCTCGTAGAGCTGTCTGGCCCCAACTCCTAGCAGAATTATTTTAAAAGAAAAAAAAAGACAGCAATAATGGTAGCTCTGTGATTTTGAATGTGTCCCACGTGTCGGGCCCCATGTCGCATCACAGAGCCCAGTGTGGAGGTGTGCTGTCAGTGTCTCTGGAAGACAGGCTTGGAGGGGCCTGGACACTAGTGGGATGCTGGCTGGGACCCCACAGTCAGGCCCCTATTCACTGGCCTTTTGCCAGGGGTGGTGTGGGCCAGTGGGGCCCCTGGGAGAAGGCCTCATGGGCCTCTTGGGTCCCTGGAGGCTGCGGGGTATTGACTGAGCTCTCATGAGCCCAGGGTTGCCTTGGGTTCAGTAGTGGAGAGCTGGGTGACCCCGTGTCTCCAGGAGGCTGCGGGGTATTGACTGAGCTCTCATGAGCCCAGGGTTGCCTTGGGTTCAATAGTGGAGAGCTGGGTGACCCCGTGTCTCCTCTGCAGGTCTGTGCCTCCTCTGTGCCATCAACACTGAGCCCATGGGACCACGGGTCAAGTAAGTGGTTCTAAATGAGGGTGGCAACGTGGGCATCTGCAGGGGCTCAGCTTGAGGAGAATGGAAACACTGCAGGCCCCCAGGGACCCTGTTGCCTGGGGGATGAGAGCTGCTGGCCACAGGCTGGGGCCTTGTCTGCACAGCATGACGGTGTCTGAGCCCAGACTCGAACCCAGGCCAGCCAGGATGGGTTCTGCACTCTCGGTCTGTGCACGGCCCACCCTCCTGCTCTGAGGTTTGTGGTCTGTGGTTGGAGCTCTGTGTGGGTTTGGGGTCTTCCCAGTCTCTGGAGGCCCCCCCCAATGCACCCTTCCCCATCCTGCCCTTAGAGGGAGGGTGGGCTGGTCCTGCTGTCCCACAGCGCCCTGGGGTATGGAGGCTGTGCAGTCCCCCAGCACGAGGGCAACACATGCCACGGTAGCAGATCCTGGTGGGGTGCCTCCTTGGCACCAGCCGCATGCCAAGCCCCCGTACTTGCTCATCTCCTTACAATACAGAGGAGGAGGGGGCGAGGGGGAGGCAGGACCGTGCCCAGAGGCACGTGGCTGCTCAGGGCAGAGACGGGCCTCCACCCAGGCCTCCTCCTGGCTCCACTTTGCTGGTTAAATGGGAGAATTTGGATGGTCCCTTTTTCCATCAAAGTGCTGTCTTCCTCTGGGTTGGCCTGTGATGGGCCTGGAGCCCTGTATTTTGCCTTTGATGGGCCCAGTCTGACCCCACTGGCAAAGAATACGTATGCACAAGATGACGCTACATGCCCCTGTGGGACCCCAGGGGAGCTGAGAGGGTCTGAGCAGCTCTTATTCCCATTTCACAGATGTGAAAACTGAGGCTGAGACAGGTTAAGAGGCACATATGGTTTACCAGGGCTGCTGGGGGCTTAACGTAAAAGAGTGTATTCTCTCGCAGCCTGGAGGCCAGATGTCCAAAACCTAGGTGGTATCAGGCCGTGTTCCCTCTGAAGGCTCTCAGGGATTGTTCCTTGCCATTTCCTGCTTCTAGTGTCTCCAGGGTTCCTGGCTTGTGGCCCCATTGCTCCACTCTCTGCCTCTGTCTTCATGTGACCTCTCCCTGTGTCTCTGTCTTGAATCTCCCTCTGTCTCTTACAAGGACACTGGCCATTAGATTGAGGGTCCACCCCAAATCCAGGATGATCTCATCTCTAGGTCTTTAACTTCATTACAGCAAAGACTGTTTCCAGATAAGGTCCCGTTCACAGATTCTGGAAACATGAATTCTGGAGACCACCGTTCAGCCCGGGACAGATGCTGCCACTTAACTGCGGCCACGGACTTGCAGTCCAGTCCTGTGCCTCTGTCTACCCCTTCCTGGTGCCGCGCTGCGCCCCAGCTGGGTGTTCCCAAAGCATCGGGCACGGCTTGTCTCCTCCTGGGTTGGGAAGACTTTTCTCTGGATGTCATTCAACCAGGCTTTGGCTTCGAGCTGCCCTGGCTGGCTGTGGCCCCTGTGTGGTTCATTCCCGGCAGCCCTTTGAAGTTCTGCTTTTGTTTGGTGCCTTGATCCAAGCTCACGACATTTTCTACCGATGGGCTTTCAAGATATTTTTAATTCCAGAACTGCTCTGAGGCCTCCTGATCCATCCGAGCTGCTCCGGGGGGGCCCGCAGCCCGGGTCACGTTCTCGCCCCCCCTGCTTCTGATGGGCGGTGTTCATGGCAGCAAGGTGCCGCTGTGAGATGCTGCTAGATCAGAGACGGTCTTCCCGTGACAGTACACCCTCGTGGCCTTTGTTAACGGGGCCGGGAAAATGTCCCTGGCTGCCCTGCCACTTTGTGGAGTCTTATTATCACTGTCCTCAGCTCATTGTCTGCACCGTCTCTTCCTGGTGCGTATGAAGGTCACAGATGTGGCCTTAGCGGCTGCCTGTTAAATCCCTCCGCCTCCTGCACTCTTGTCCCCCGGTTGTGTGTGACTTAGGGCTTTCTTCTCCCTCATTTTCTTGCAGCTTCACCCCCCACCCCCAAAAGGAAGAGAGTTTAAAACTTCCATGTCTCTCCTCCCCATTTCTTTGGCTTTGATAAAACATGGGGGAAGAATGAGGTTATGAAATAATAATAGGAGTGGGTTTTTTAATTGCCTGGGTTATTTCTCAGATACCCATCCCTATACGTAAGGGAAAATACTCTGAATTATTTCTGAATCGGCGACTACTGGGCTTCCAGTCATGTTTTCTGAGTGTGCTGGGCCTGTCTGGTGAAAGCTCAGAATGGTGCGTGTTGACGTGGTACACTGACTCGCAGGTGCGGCTTGGAGATCTGGGGCGTGGCCTCCGTGCTCCTGGGCACCTTCATCTTCGGGCAGAGCACAGCCGCAGCCGTCGTGGAGCTCACCTGAGGGGCAGCCTGCGCCTGAGCAGCAGACTCCTCCGCGGGCCAACCGGGGGCGGCTGTGTGAGCAGCTGTGAGACGGGTGTCCTTTCCCCATAAAGACGCTGGAGAAACAGAAACCTCCTGCCTTCCCGGGCTGCTCATTTGGGCTTCTGCTGGTTCAAAAGGTTTCTGGGACAGTGGTGAGGAGAGCGTACCGGTGTCCCCGGGGCTGCCCTCACGAACTAGTGGCTTAAAACAGCAGAAATGTCTTCCCTCTGGGCTCTGGAGGCTGGGAGTCCAAGATCTAGGGGGCAGGGCTGTGCCCCCTCTGAAGGAAGGAGGGTCCTTCCTGCGTCTTGCAGCTTCCCATGTTGCTGGCTGTCCTCGGTGTCCCTTGGCCTGTGGACACACCCCCTCCACTCTGCGCCGTCTCCCCGTGGCCTTCTGCCTGTTTCTGTGTCCAAGTTCCCCAGTCATTGGATCAGGGCCACCTGAATGCAGTATGACCGTAACATAGTTACTTAATTAGGGTCTGCAAAGATCCTGTTTCCAAATAAGGCCACATTCGTAGATTCCGGGAGTTGGGACTTCAACTTAATATTTTCAGGGGACACGATTCAACTCAGAGAAGTAGGGGCTGAGGATCCTGAGAGAACCCTGCTTTGGGGTGTCAGGATCACAGACAGGAGGTGAGGGTCCCACACAGTGCATCAGGGCCCGAGGGGAGGTGGCAAGTGGCATCTGCTAGGGACGGTGGCGGGTTCAAGCTGGTCCTCACACAGACTTGCACTTGGCTCACACTCCAGCGTGGGACCCCAGGGGGAGCCCCTTTCCCTCCTGCCAGCAGGACCTGCCCGGCCTGGAAGCCAAATGGAAGCCTTGTGCTGCAGCTCTCCCCACCCCCACTGCAGTCCAGGTTGGGGGCCACACCTGCAGCTGCCGGTGAAGGGACAGGGGGCCTGCCCAGGGCCGGGTGTGGAGGAGAGCACGGCCAGCAGCAGGGTCCAGCCACTCACTGGCTTGCCAGGGCTGAGCCAGCACAGGGCCTGGGCGTCCTGGATGGGGCTGGAGTTGGCCGCTCTCCCTCCGCTGTGGGATGCCTGCCAGAAGCCAGCGCTGCCCCAGCCAGGACAGGCCCTCGCTGGAGGACACGTCCCTCACGGGAGGTCTCAGGCCGGGCCGTTACACTGTGTGGTGCCTCCCTCACTGTGGGAGGTGGATTGGAATAGACTGTTGTGTGGTTTTTTTTGTCTGTGTTAATTTGTTCGAGATCCAGTTCACATTCCATGAGGTTCACCCTCCTCACAGGCAAGATGCGGTGGCAGTAGATCAGAGCTGTGCAGCCGTCACGCGTATCTGACTCCTGTGTTCTCATCACCCCTGAGGAGCGCCGTGCCCCTCAGCATTGCTCACAGCCCCTCCCTGGCCCCCATAAACCTGTCCTCTGCCTCAACAACTCCCCCTGTCCCAGCCCTTCCATGAGTAGCTCGTGCCTGTGGCCTTCAGTGCCTAGCTGCTGTGACTTGGCATGTTTTCAAATGTGCCACTTTGACAGGTGAAGCAGCTAAGGCTTGGGAAGGCCAAGCTCCTGTCCTGTGAGGTACAGAGTTGGTGTTGGGACTGGTGTTGAAACTCCGTAGTCCATCTCCTTTCCATGCTGTACCCCACTCTGCAGAACAGCTATGGGTGGGGCCTGGGCACCTAACCCCTGGGGCAGGGAGGGCCTCTGCCCTCTTCCCCCCTGGCTGCAGGCGGAGACTCTGAGGGGGGCACAAGACCCTTCTCTAGGTGCCCCTGGCCAGCCCACCATGACCTGCCATGCCCACGCTCAGGGGCACGGTGTCTCCCCAAAGGCCTCAGAACCAGGGTGTGTCTGGGCAGAATGGCTTTGAGGAAGCCTCTCCCGCCCCAGAGCCAGTGGTGAGAATGGACAGTCATTTATTATTTGCACTGTGCTGTGATGCCAGCCGGGAGGGCTGCGCTGTGGTAGGACTGTTCACAGAGTCCTAGGCAGAACAAAACACGGCAGGTAAGGGGTGTGCCGTAAAAGGAGGCATGTGTGGATTAGCTTTGGAGGGGGACCACTGGTTATGAACACTGGCTCTGCCATTTCCTGTCTCAAGATCTGGGAAGTTTATGAACCTCTTCCAAGACTCAGTTTCCCCATCAGCACAATGGAAGAGGCCATTGTGTATGATGGGGTGTGGGGCTTACTGTGAGTATTAAAAGTGATACTGTATCTTCTGCAGCTGGAAGGGGAGGCAAGCAATGATAGTTTTATTTCCAGAAAACCTAGGTTGAGATTAGTGGGCAAACACTGAGCTTCCTGGCAGCCAAGAGAAAATGGAACATGAGGACCGAGGCAGGAAAGCACCTCAGGAAGGAAGTGGATGGCATTAAATGCAAAGAAGAGACCAGGGCAGGGCTCTTTAAGGGGTGACAGATATCACCCTGGGGACAGGAGCTTCCACCTTGATCTGTGACAAGTACAGATGTGATCCTCATAGGACAGAGCCTCCAATCAGCCCCCATAACACAAGGACAGTGCAACCAGAGACATGCAGGCTGGGCCGTCACCCTGATGCCTGTCCTAATAGAGGGGAGTGTGAGCTTTCTCCCAGCTGTCCTCTGATACCAAGTGACTCTCTCATGTTTTTGTAGGGAAGGGGGGCTGAAATGGTGTCCTTGAGGTCAAGGTGGCATCGTGTAGGGCTTTAGCGTGGGCCTTGGGTCTGGAAGAGCTGACTTGGCCTGCCACCTACCAGCTGTGCGGCCATGCCAGGCCTGTCCCCTCAGTTTACTAACACAGGAGAACCTCCGCTAGTGCTGTTCGTGGCTGTCCTCCCTCGGGCCTGGGACAGCAGCCACCCTCTGCCCTTCCTCCTCTGGCCCTCGGCTCCAGTCCTCTTTGTCCCCCTCTAAAACGAGGCCGAGGCCAGACCCCGCCCAGGATGGCCGTGAGGATGGGCTGAGCTTCTCCCACCAAGCCCTGGTGCAGGCCTGTCCTGTCCTGGGTTCTGGTCAGCGGTGACCCCTGTGCGTGAGTGTACAGCCCTTGTGTCTCAAGTAGCAGCTGCTGATGTGGCTGAGTGACACTTTGGAGCACAAGGGACCCATTCTCCTGCTAACTTGGGGAGGTGCCTTACCCAGGCTGGGGCGCCCCAGCCAGTACCTGTGCAGCCCCATGTGCTGCTGACCCTGAGCGCTGAGGAGGTGCCCACCGCCCCCCAGGGTGGCCTCTGCGTGCCTCCCAAGGAAGGCACCGGGTTCGGACTGGATGTAAGGATGTGGACTGGCTGTTGACGTACATGGCGAATGTCTCTATTGGGTCAGGTAAGTTGATGGAGATTTTGTTTTTGAGATGAAATTCACAGAACATTAACCATTTCAAAGTGTAGACTTGGTGGTACTTCCACAATGCCACGTAAACACCACCTCCATCTATTTCCACAAAGTTTTCACTCCCCCGGGAGGCACCCCAGTGCCCATCACCAGTCTGCACAGCCCCCAAGCCCTGGCAGCCACCACCTGCTTTCCACTTGCACTGGTTTAAGTGGTGACGGGCGTCTTCCACTGAGCGTGTTGTCAGGGTTCATCCGCGTGTGTGTGGCCCTGGGCTGCACTCCTCCCAGCTGAGCGCTGCCCCGTACGGCTAGAGCACATTTTGCTGTCCATCTGCTGGTGGACGTGGGAGCTGTTTCTACTTTTTGCTATTGTAAATAAGCTGCTGTGAACCTTTGTGTACACGTAGTTATGCTCATGCGCGTCTTTGCAGTTCTGGGCATGGGTGAGCCCAGGAGTGGAACTGCTGGGTCACAGGGTAATTTTGTTGTTCGCTGTTAGGAGAATTGACTGGGCTCTGAGGTATTAACCTGGAGCCGTGGCTGCCCACGTGTCTATGCTGTGGAGTATGGCGAGCAGGGCCCAGGATTGGGGGTGGGCAGCTCTGGGTTTGGGTATAGGCAGGGCCAGCTGCTTGCTGTGTGACCTCTGGTGAGTTACTTGCCTTGCAGTGTCTGCTTTTCCCTGCCTGCCCATCACAGGATGGCATAGCCGGCATCTCTAAGGTGGTGCCTGCAGTGCCTGACTCTGCGCCTGGCATTAAGTGGGAGCACTGGTACCTTTTAGGGGTGAAATCTGTTCTCTTCAGAGCCTGCTCCCACCCACTCAGAACCCAAGGAGGCTCTAAGTGCTCGTGGGCTGTGATCAGCAGAGATGCTACGACCCAGGGGAGCGCTGGGGTGAGCGGCTGTGCTGTGCGACAGAAGTGGAACAAGACCAGCTAACAGGGCTCCTCAGCTGCACCCCAAGGGCCTCAGCTCCCTGCAAATATTATTTCTGAAATAGTGGAGCTGAGTGGATGAGTGCCGGGGTGGGGCCGGGGCAGCTCTTACTCCTGCTGATGCTGCCAGCAGGACCCAGTTAAGTGACGTTCTCGCACCGGCCAGTTCGTCTCTGATCTTCTAAGTAGGGGGGTTCTTTTCCTCACTTTACAGACAAGAAAATAGAGCTCTGAGAGGCAGGTTGCACAGACTTCAGCTCAGATGTACAGCTGGGATGTGCGCCTGCACTGCACGCCTCCTACAGGCCCACTGTGTCTCACTGGTTTTGTGTGAGTGGCTGGCATCAAACCTCACGAGGAAGTACAGGGCCCAAGGGGGGACAGTGGGTCTCCCAGGAGCAGGGAGCCAGAGGGGGCAGGGCAGCGTGGGCAGGCAGAGACCATGCCCGGTGGCAATGCCTTTAATAACTGTCACATTCACAGGCACAGGGGGGCCGCTCCAGGCTTGGAGCAGCAGGTGGAAAGATGCGCATCCTGGGGGCCGCGTCCACCGGGCCTGACCCACTGCTGCCTGTGCAGGGCCCCTCCCTCCTCCCCAGGCCTCGGCTGCTCCTGGCAGCCCTCCACCCACCTGCTGTCTTGTCCTTGGAGGCTTCTGTGTATGATGGCTATCCTGCTAACCAGGACAGGGAGACGGAAGTCAGAGTGTCACCAGGCTTCTAGAAGAGGACTTAGCCATTATTTCAACTCTGGTATTGGTCTGTCTCGTTGGAATAGTTCAGTTACTGGTGCGCAGTGAAGGGTCAGCAGTGCCCAGAGACGTCTTCCCTTTGCCCTCGGCTCCTGGGAGGTGATCGGAATGTCCTGCCTGATGTGAGTGTCTTTTTTTTACCTGGGGCCACATGGTATCAGCTCCACCTCCACGGCTACATGACTGGCCCCCAGGGAAAACTCTGATTGCTGAGATCAGAAAAAACTCCGTGGTGAGCTTCCCTGGTTGGCAATACTCTGTATAATGTCACACTTAGTGCCGAGAGAGACAGGTGCCGTCTGCATTGCTGCTCTGGGCACGCAGTCTCCCCGTCCCTTCCTGGCCATAATCTGTAACCATGCATGCAATGGCTTTGCTGAGTTCCATGAGTCCCTCTAGCAGATTATTGAGCTTGAGGGTGGTCTTGGGGACCCCTAGGATGTTACAACGGGTGCGAGCTTATTTGTCAAAATACATACCTCAGTTATCTCCATTTTAAAGATAAGAAAACTGAGATTCTGGCTGACTTGCTCCAGGTTCCAGAGCTCATTAGGGGGTCCAGGCCCCATGCACCTTGACAACTTCACCCCACCAGCTGTCATCAACTAGAAAACAGGAACAGACACACACAGCATGCAGCTGTTCCCAGCCAGGTTTATTTGGTGCCTGGCCCGGCAGCAGCTGTTTGCCCGTGGCACAGGCCGAGGCTGGGCCTTACAGGGTCTTGGCTCCTACCAGGGAGAGGAATGTCAACCAGGGCAGTGAGAGGCAGTGGCGAGGAGCGTCCTGCTGAGGCCAGGGCAGGCGGGTGATGGGGGGCTCGTCATGCGTGGACAGTCAGCCGGGGTGGGGGTGGCGAGGAAGAGGTGGAGGGTGGGCTCCAGGAAGCCTCCCATCCCCACTGACCCCTGGCTTCAGCAGGGCCCAGCAGCTCAGACAACAGAGGTGGGGGCTGCCGGGGAGGGGTTCTCCTTCACCTCCAACAGCAGGGAAACACACTCCTATTTGGAAATATATTGAAAAGACAGCCTGTATACCAAAGTTTCTAGAAAAGAGGGGACGTCCTTTATAAGAAGAGGGTTGGGTGGCAGGTTCATCCTCAGGGCCTGGGGGATGGTCAGTCATGGCCCACCGTGCACCAAGCAGCTGGGGAGGAGAGAGACACAGTAAGCAGAGAAGATGGGGCAGCACCGTCCCCACATCCCGTGGAGGCTGCATGGAGGGGCAGGTCCACTCCTTCTCCTGCAGGCCTCTTCTGCTGCTCAGGGCAGGAGGGCAAGGCCTCTCAACAGCAGAGGGTGAGGGCTGGGGGAGGGAGGTGCACAAGGCCCTGGCGGGTCCCACGCCTGTGGAGGTCCTGTCTGTCTGGCTCTGGAGGGCTTGTGGGGGGGGAGGGTGGTGGGTGCACGTCCCCGGTATCCTGCCCTTCCGTCTCCTGAGGCTCTGCCCTGTCCTTCCCTCTCTGGCCTCTGGGCTCCCTGCCTCTAGACCCTCTGCACACAGGCGCTGGCATTGAGTCCTCACTGTGGGCTCGAGTTACGGCAGCCAAGGGAACCGAACAGGGGGTGTTGCAGGCATGCGCTTTACCTCTCCCTTGCCCACCTCTGCCTGGAGATGGTTGCTTGTCCCGCCAGCGCCAGGGTGGCCCCACTCCCCACACATGCTGTCTAGGCCCTGCCTCCTACCTGGCACCAAGATCCTGGAGAGGACCTCGGGCTGGCTCAGCGTGTCCACCTTGACATGCCGGAACGCCCGGCACAGTGGGCTCTGCAGGTGCCTGCGCACAGGGGCACCGGTCAGCTCTGGGGCCGCGCCTCCGGACAGCAGCCTGGGCTGCGGGCGGCTGATCCTGGCTGTGCCCGAGACGGGGGGCTCAGACACCAGCCAGCCAGTTCTGAGGCTGAGCGTGCCGCGTGGAGATGAGAAGGCAGGGCCCCGGGAAGGCTGACGCTGGGGCCCCGGAGGAGCCGCAGGTTTGTGGGGAAGAGCCTGGTTCATGCCTCCTAGTGAGCCTCCCCGGCGAGAGAACTCTCTGCACTTTTACCCCTCAGGGGCGGCCATTTTCAACCAGGGGCAGCCTTGGCCTCAGATCCCAGGGCTGGCCAGGAACCTGCATTCAGGCATGTGGGAGCCCACTGGGACCTGGCTATTCCTCTCCCCTCCCCTTCACGCCTCACCCCAGGGGTACCCTAGACAGGTACCCCTGAGAGGCCTGGAAAGGCTGCCAGGGGGCTGGGGCAGCCCTGCCTGCCTGCCACCTGGCGCTGGAGGGCACAGCCTGCTCACCTCTTCCACGCCTCCTCCGTGTCCCAGAACTCATAGACCACGAAGGTGAGGCCGTCCGACAGCCTCACGGCCGCAATGCTGCACAGAGAGGGGCAGCAGAGTCAGCAAACATCCGACCGTGTTCCCCCACCTCTCCCCCTCCAGCCCGGCCCCTGTCCCCAAACGGGCTTGATGCCGCCCGAGGCCACTCGTGATCACTCCTGGTGACACTGCTGCCTGTCTGATCAGGATAACACAGGGCCCCCAGGACCAGCCGCCTGGTCTGATCTGTTAGCGTGCATCCCCACCACCGAGAGCAAGGCTGGACCCCTCAGAGGGACTGATAAATATTGCTTGAATGAATTGACATTTTCAAAGGCTTTACATTCATTTAGAAGACGTTACCTGCCTTGGAAAATAAAAGCATTTTCCTCCTGCCACACTGTTCTGGAGCATTCTCCTGTGATGCTTATGTAATAAGGCCCAGGTCGCTCCTATCTTACCTGGGCGATGGTGGCAGGCCCCTCCCCTCATTTACATAAGACTTAGGCTACCAGGGCTGGGGCAGGAGGCAAGGGCTTCCTCCAGGCACCCCTAATGTTGCCCCGGGCTGGCTTCCCCTGGCTGCTGCTTTTTCACAGGCTCAGCAGAACAGAGCAGGGGCCTGAGCAATCCTCAGGGAGGAGATGCTATTATAGGAGGCATGTGCTGTATAATCACAGGCAATTCCAGGTTTTGCTGAACAGGATGGAAGCAGAGAAACAAGGCCGCTAATGGGATCATTAGTTCATTATACTCCAGACTAAAATTATACATGGAGCTGTGGGCTCGTAAATGGAGAGGGGAATGCGCGGTGAGCGTGCGGGCTGCCCACTAATCAGGCAGAACCCACGGCCCTTCACCAGACGTGGGGGGCGCTGCTCCTGGGCCCCTTTTGACAAAGGTCATCAGAGCAATTCGGTTCACCTAAGCATAGTTGTTACAGCAAGATGCAAGCCATGATGCTGAGCGCGTTTGCTCAGCTGATGATACACTGATTGGTTTTGGTGGGAAGACACGAGCAGGCAGGCTTGGGGTACAAGCGAGGACAGTCACTCAACAAACAGGCCTGGAGCCCTACCCGGTCCTGGGCCCTCCTCCTTCCACGGTCTCTCCTGTGGGGAGCATGCCACTGCCAGCCCACCCTCTGTCCCCTCAGACACCAGCACCTCAAGCTGCACGTGCACGCTGATGCACCTCTGCCCTTCTCCTGCCTGCTCTGGCCCCGCGTACAGCACCTGGGCTCTTCATTTCTGAGCCGAGGAACCTCTGATCCTGCCTCGCCTCCCCTCCCCTCTGCATGACCCCCCATCCCAGCCACTGGCTCTGAGCAGACCGCTGTGGGCCCTGGGCACACCAGGGCCCGGCTGCCTCTCCGGCTGGCCGCAGGGCCTCTCCCTGGCTGCCTGCCATCCCCACCCAGCCCTTCTCCACACAAGGAGCCTGACCAGTGCCCCCCTGCTGCTTGAGCAGCTCTGACGCTTGGATCGTGCAAGATCCGCAGGGCAGGTGAGAGCCGGTCCTGCTGCGGCCCCAGGTCTTCTCCCAGGGTCACCACTGGGCCACACCAGCTGCTCGCGTTTTCTACCAGCACAGCACCCTCACTACCACCCCAGGCGGATCCCCCTCCCAGACTGCCCTTCCCCAGATTCCGTGGGTCAGTCTGCTCATCGCTCAGGCCTCAGGGCACACAGGACCCTGCTCCTGGCCTCACATGCCCGGCACTGTCAGCACCCTACTTGCCTTTCTGTCCCTCTGCCCCCTAGAACATCCAGCACGAGCAGCAACCTGAGTCCGGCTGTGCCCTGGGGCCTGGCCCACGACAGACCCCCAGAAGCAGGGTGCGGCCACATGGGCTCTCGGGGTGGAAGAAGCAAACCGGAGAGGGAAGGAATCAAGGGGGGTACAGAGGCTCAGCTGCATGTGTTGGGCACTGATGGGTGGGCCTGCAGAGGGGAGGGCCGGTGGTGGGTGCCAGCAGCCCTCTCGGACTGCTGCTACCAAATGTGAGGGCTGTTGTCTTTTGTGCACCACTCAGACGTGGCCACGGCTGCCCCACTCAGCTTCAAGGACTGGCACAAGGCTCAGCAGCACGCACCCGGGTGAGAGGCTGCAGGGGCAGCCCACTTGGAGCACTGCCTGTGCACACGCCCTGGCCCAGGGCCCTCGTGCTCTTTCTTCCAGTTTCACCTGCTTCAGCCCCAACGAGTGGGCCCTGTTCAGGTCCCCCTTTACAGACAAGCACGCTGTGGTCAGGGAGGTGCAGTCACCCCGTGCCTACACAGCGGGGAAGGCCCCAGCTGGGACTTGAACCAGCAGCTCTTCCAACCACTCACTGTGTGCCCCCCTGGGCTCTGGTTTGTCCTCACGGATGCAGCCTGTGCTCCCAGCCCGCCTGTGATGCCACCCTCAGGGCCCCGCCCTTGGCTCACTCACTGGAAGCAGTTCCCGGCTCCAGCGGTGCCCCGCAGGTACTGCCGCAGAGAGTCCACAAACTCGCTCAGCTGCTCAGGGCTCACGGCCATCTCCTGCCGGACCAGCTGCAGGTGCTGCGGGGCCACAGGGTGAGTGAGCGTGGGTGCCCGTGGGCTGGGCGGCCTGCGCCCTGGGCTGCTTGCCAGGCCTCTCCCCGCAGGGCCCACCCAGCCCTCTGGGCACAGCCCAAGACCCAGCCTCCCTTCAGAGAGGCCAGGACAATTGGGTCAAAATAAAACCAGAAAAACCCCAAATGCACACACACGTCTCATTCTTACACATGAAAACTGGCTAACAAAGGGCCCAGAACTTAAGAGGCCAAGTGCAGGAAGTAGCCCCACAAATGCTGAAGAGCTCCATGGATGGGGGCAGCTGCCTGTGAGGTGTCCCGGGCCGAGACAACAGAATCGGCGACCAGCCAGATCCGTGTCTGAGCGAATCAATGTTTTGATGTCCCTGTCCTGCTGGTCACTGCTCCAGGCCAAACTGCTTTTGATCAAGGCTCTGGAGCCTCAAAGGACGCTCCTGGGAGGGGCAGGTGGCCAGGTGCTGCATCTCCCCTCACGGTGTCCCAGGCTGGGCTGGCGGGAACATGGAGCCCCCGCACCTGACTCCTGACTCAGGCAGGGATGGGGCCACAGAATAGGGGTTGGAAGGGGTGCCTCCAGGCCACGAGCCTCACCATGTTGGTGCCTTCCTCATCCGAGAGGCGCTGCTGCAGGTCAAACCAGAGGGTCTGAAACAATAAAGCACAAAGAGATGCTGGAGACAGGCCACCTCTGTCAGGGAGGCCTCCAGGACCACCACAATAACTCCAGAGTCCCCAGGTTGGTGGAAACCCCCTGGCTGAACAGGGCTCAGTCCACCCTCCATATATAGGGCTGGCTCAGCAGGGTCCTGGGAAGCCAGGCTGGGAGACTGAGCACAGGAAGTGGCAGACATCCCTTCTGACCTTGGCACCTGGGAGCACAGGGAGCCCCAGAGGCCAGCCGGATCTACTGCATCGGGCACAGAGGGGGCTCTCTTTTGCTGAGGGCAGGGGTATCAGGAGAGGTAACAATGGGGACTCAGTCCTAAACCCAGGGCACTGCTTCTTGCCACAGCTGGTGGTAACAGCCCTGAGATTCCCCATCAACTTATGAGTGAGTCACCCCCGGTTATAACCCCTGGTGCCTCATTCATGAATCTAATGGTCTGGATGGGGTGGTCTGTTCTCACTGGCCTTCCACAGGCCCTGGTCTGGATGTCTGACAAATTCATCTTCCATAACTTTCCAGACTGTCTGAGGCAGGTGCTGCCCCACTGTAATTAAGATCCAGAAAAGTAGGAACCCCATGCACGCTGTTCACAGCCATATGTTGGTGTCTAGAATAGTATCCAGCACCTGACGGATACTCAGTGGTCACCATTTCATAGCTGAGAACCCCAAGGCCCCAAAGGCCACAATAGCTGGTCAAGGGTCGGAGCCTGTGTTTGAACTTAGGTCTCTCTCCTCCCGACCCACTGAATCAAAGTCTTTTTCCTTTAACTTGGCACCCCAATAAAGCCCGCCCTGCCCATCCTCGTGAGGACAGCTTGTGTCTCTGGTACAGCTGCACACCCAGGTCTCTCCTCTCACACAAGCACCTGCGTGAGGCTCGTTGGCTGGTTGGTAAGAGTGGCAAGCGGGTGTGGCACCGCCCTGAAATGCTTAATAACGTTTGAACAAGGCTCCCTGCACGCTCATTTTGCACATACCCAAAATGGGCCCCGTAAACTCTACAGCCAGTCCCGGAGGGGGTCCTGACTTCCCATGGGCAGGCGGCGCGGACAGGCTTTATAGGTGAAGGTGTGCCTGGCAGGGGCGAGTCTGTTTCCATCATTTTACAACCATGTGGGTTGGTTCCTAGAGGGCAAAGCCTGCAGCTGGTTCCCTCGGCTCCTCCAGACGGCGGGACCACCGAGAGGGAGGTGGGGGGAGACTAGGGGGCACCCACGTCTGCCCCGCCCTCGCCCACCCTCGCGGGAGAGCCCCCTCCGCCGCCCCGCAGAGCCTGCGGGCTCAGGTGGGCGTGCGGGGGGCGGGGCCCGGAGTCGGCCCCAGGTTGGCCCTCGCAGCCTGGACCAATCAGAGGACTCCCAGGTGCTCTGCGCCGGTTTCCAGCCAGCTGGTTGTTAAGGCGACTGGGGCGCTAAAAATAAGCTTCAAAGAGCCTCCCTCTGGAGGCGCGCAGAGTTGTTATGACAACCGGGCCTCGGGGGACCGCCGAGCCTGCCTACCGCTCCCGCAGCCGCGGGCTTTAGGTGGGGGAGATGCCCCCTCGGCCGCAGCCCTGCAGGTGGGGTCGCCGCCTTCCCCGACTCCCCACCACGTCTCCGCTTCAGTCTCCCTCTGCGTGGGGAGACCCGCCCCCTGCCCCCAGGAATCCCTCAGAACCCCCAAACCCATGAAAGTACTAACTTTTTGCCCTTTTGCAAAAGATGTAAAAAATTCATTAAAGCAGGAAAAATGTAAAATCTCCCCAATCCACGGCTTTGAGATGCCTGCTGTCGTGGTGTAGGCAGGTATGCGGTATGGCGTGGGGGTATGGGTGTGGTAACAGAAGGTCTACTAATAATTGCTACTATAAAATGCTAACCACACAGCAGGCTCTGTGGTAAGCTATTAGGACGTCTTTTTAATCCTCACAACTCCGCAAAGGGTATCATTCTAGTTATTTTCTCATTAGAGGAGGAATCCGGGGCACGGAGAGGGTAAGTCACTAGCCCAAGGTCACACAGCTGTGAAGCAGTTCAGCTAGGGTTCCACAGGCCGTTTGAAACCAGGGCCCACTGGTAAACCTTAGGGCAACATGTTATCTTCCTTCCTACAAATGGCCGTTGTCACAGGCTGAACTGCCCTCTCCAAATGCCTATGCTGAAGATCCAACCCCCAGCGCCTCAGAGTGTGACTGTATTTGGGGACAGGGCCTTTGAAGAGGCGATTCAGTAAAAATGAGCTGATAAGGGTGGATCCTGGCCCATGTGACTGGTGTCCTCATAGGAAGACATCAGGACGCAGACACACACAGGGACGACCTTGCCAAGATGGAAAGACAGCCCTCTACAAGCCCGGAGGGAGGCCTCAGAGAGACGGCCCCGTCAACACCCTGGCCTCAGACTTCTAGCCTTGGACAGGAGGGTGCGTGTGCCAAGGGCCCTTCCGCTGTGCAGTCGCGGCAGCCCTGAGCAGCTGAGAGTCATTTGGTGAGTACCCACCGAGTCACAAGACGTTCTCTGAAAACACAATGCTTCGCAGGCAATGCCATTGTCTATCACTGCCTGCGGACATGCCACAGCGAATTAAAAGTGTTCAACTGTTGACCACTCAGGTTGTTTCTGCCTTCTCCCTGGGCGTCACTGCCCCTCACTACCACGCTGAGTCCTGGCGCTGCCTGCCCAGGCCAGCCCCGCCTTAGAGCAAAGCGTCCTTGAAGCTGTGTCCCTTTGCCACCTGTGACCCTGCCACTATCTGCTCCTTGAGCTGCTCCTCCTGGCTGCCTGCCCACCACTCCAGCCTTTCCCCTTCTGCCCTGGTACCTCTCCTCGGGCCTGTATGATGGACACACCCCTTCCCAGGGCTCCTGACCTCCCTCCTGAACTCCCCACCTGACTCTGCACTCCCGGGGGCTCCAGGAGGGATGGGGTAGACGCTGGGGTGCAGCAGGCTCACCTTGTTCTCCAGCCGTCCTATCAGCTCTGCCAACCGGCTGATCTGGGCTTCCAGGCCCTCAGTCTTGGGGTCCGTGGTGACTGGGAAAAAGGAAGGGTTACTGATGGTGGGCAGGGCCAGCCCGGGCAGAGTGAGCCGCCAGCTTCCCCAGGGGAGGGACCTGCCTCAGCCCTGCCAGTCCCGCTTGGAGACCGAGGCCCCATCTGGGCCACTGTCAGAACTCCTGTGAGGGCCCCCAGCCCCTGCTCCCCTCTCCGGGCCACTGCTGTATCTCACCAGAGAGAAGGCTCTTCCCTTGTTCCGTGGCCACGGGCTTGTGGCTGGGGGCATAGGGGGAAGTGGGGCTTCCATACCAGGTCTCCACTGCACCGTGGCTGGGTTTACTGTGGTTCTGCCTGTGGTTTGAGTGGGGGGAACACACAGTAAGAGACGTGCAGGGCCTGGACCACTCTTAGCTCTGACAAACATTAAGCCCTGACTGTGGGCTGAAATGTGCACGGCTAATTCTCTGGAGCCCCAGCCCTGTGAACCGGGCATCTCGGCCTTTGTTTTAGAGGAAAATACAAGACCTCCGGGCAGGTGAGTTGGCCATGACCCCACAGCTAGCAGGGCAGAGTCGGGATCTGAGGGCTCTCAGTGGCGTTCTAGGGCTCCACGCCCTGGGCCCTGTTCCTGGAGGTCCAGTTCCAGTGCTGGGGCGATGCTGAGCCAGGCCCCTACCCCACTCCATGGTTCCCTGCCTCACTAGGAGCCGATTTCATGTTTGATGCCCCCTGGGGTAGGGGGCCTGGGTTTGTATCAGCTAGACAACCCCCCTTTCCAAAATTGGGAGCCCTAAGACACAGCTGAGAGTGGGCTTATAACAGGACAGAGAATCTGTGATGCTGGATGCAGCTGGGCCTGTGTCCTGTCCTCGTAACCCCGCATGCGCACTGACGGGCACACGCGCAAAGCCCCTGGAACGCCCCAATAGGCACACGCTCAAAGCCCCTGGCACACCCCATGGGCACATGCGGTTCCAAGCGCTGTGCCTGGAACAACAGTAGGGACCCAGCCAGTGCTTGGTCAGTGCCTGAATCCCCCGCGCAGAGATGCCAGAAGATCACCAGACACATGTGTCCACATAAAACACGCGTACACTCCTGTCCCCAGCCTCCTCCGCCTTCGGGTGTCACTGCCTCAGTGTTCTGCGGCTTGTCTCCCTCGTACCTCAAAGCTCAGCAAACCTCTCACCCGCGCAGAGGGGCAAACCCAACTTCCCAGCCGGGGGGAAAGCTTGGCAGAGTCTGTGAGGTGTCAATCCTGGCGGCTCTGCAACCCAGTGGCAACTTAAATGTGGCCCTCAGACCACGGACAGGGGCAGCTGGCATCTCCTAGGGACAGTGGGGTTTGAACTAGGGTCTTGGGCCTGGAATGGGGCATCCCCAGGGCTGGGAAATAGGATGGCGTGAGGGGACTTGCAGCTGCAAGCCAAAATAGCTGAAATTTGGGTGGTTCAGGGAGGAAATGTGTGTGGAACAGTTGCGTCTCCCCACGAGGACCTGCCACTCCCACCAGCAACATCCCCAAGTCAAGTCCCAACATAACAGCTGGCAGGTGGAATGCTGACCCGTGACGGAGCTGGCAAAGCACAGGAAATCAGCTACAATAGTGCTCCGTCTTATCTGTTCTACGGCAGGATAAAAACAGCAGGTTTTTAATCAAGATAGATATCCCTCGGTTTTTCGTTGTTGTTGTTAGAGTCAGCTTCCAGAACTGTGGCTGCTAACTCTGGGGACCCTCAGAATCACAAGACTGACCACAGACGCAGAGTTCTGGACTCAGTTCCCAGAGATTCTAACCCTGCAGGCCCGGAGATCTGCATTTTATATTTCCCAGGTGATTTGGCCTCAGGTGCTCAGAGCAAACACGTTTTGGGAACAGTGGCATCAAACGCGATTGGGACCAGCACCTCACCAACCCAAACACATGCTCAAATCCCTGCTCCACGGCGACCGACACAGCAGCCTGGCCACGCCGCCAGGCACAGGAGCTCCGGGCTCAGGAATGCTTGGGCCCCACCGCCTGACTTTTGCTCCCTTCTGTCTGCAAGTCCCTGTTTCCCCTTTATGCCATGCACACGCACATCGGCTGTTCTAGAAAGAAGAGGCAAAAAGGAGTTCATCTCAACTTGGGACAGCAAATGCGAGGGCTCATGGTCCCCAGGCTGACACCACCAGGCCAGGAGGAGACCCGCTCCTCTCCAGGCGCCAGGCTCGCCTCTCGACTCAGCACCCCCACCAAAGAGAGGGGACCCCACATGCTTTTCCATGCTTCAAGGACACACAAGGAAGGCCTTAAATAACACTAAACAACCCTGAGGAAAATCACTGCATTCCAGTGCTTCTGAGAAAGACGTGACTTGGCACTACCCTGTCCTCGATGCCCCTCTGCAATCTCCCAGCCTCTCTTTGTAACAAATAAGGAGCAGGCCTCCAGAGTCCAGGTGCTTACCTTTACAGTTACTTCATTTACGGCATGCGATAACTGTTTTCCAGTGTTGGTAACCAAGTATCATTTCCTGTATTTAGTTCCAGTTTTCAAAAGTGAGTCAAACAACAGACTAATGTGAGTGGTATAGGCATGTGGCAAAACTGATTACGGTCTAGGAAACACATGCATACCAGGATCCTTCTAAGCACATACTGTCTCATTCAATCCTCTCAGTCACCAAGGAGGTAGGGATATAATTATCCTCATTTTACAGCTGGGGAAAGGGAGGCACAGAGAGGTGCAGCAGCTTGCCCAAGATCACCCAGCTCCCAACTACACAGTGGCTCCACCAGGGAACAGGTTGGTGCGAGCACATACTCCCACAGGACCTTGCCAGGTCTCTTCGACGCACCGGATCTGGCTGGTCTGCTCTTCAATAGCCTCCACTGCACTCTCCACGGAGCTCAGCAGCGACTGGATCTGGTTGGCCGTCTCCTTCAGGAGGAACCGTGTCACAAACTGGTCCACGCTGCTCCCACCCTCATACACCTGTGGAGGGAAGGAAGGAGCAGAGGGCAGAGGGCTCAGCGCTCGGTGGGGGACACCTGGGGTTGGTGTGTCTGCCCTGCAGGAGGAAGTGGGGACCTTCCCCTGGCGTCTCAGAGGCTGTAGAGCTCCTACATCAAGGCAGGGGCTGGGGATTCAGCACCAAGGTGAGCCCTTCACCGTTTATTAGCCCTGACCTCTACGGCCATAAGAGGAGTCACTGGGGCATCTATTTTCAAGGCTGTACTGACGAGCAAAGGACACAATGTATATAAAATGCTCAGCACATTGCCTGTCCCATAGCAAATTTTTAATGGACAGTCGCTGCTGGATGAAGATATAATAATGGAGCTGGTGGTGATGGTGATGGATCTGAAGGTGATGAAAATGACCAGTGGTGGTGTTGCCATGGACAAAGTATTTGGGGAGAAGAATGCACAACCTCCTCTCCCTCCTTCCTCCTCCGAGGAGTCTTTGGGCCTCTGGGCCTCCATGTAGCTACTTAGAGAAATGATAGAATAGTCAAAAACAGCTGGAGAGGTTAAATTGGCTCCCCAAAGAAAGCACCTGAGGCCTAGTGCTCAGAGGGGAGGGGCCTGGGCAGGCGGAGAGGGAGGGGGACTGGAGTGAAGAGCGCTTTCCAGGAAGTTTGCTCTGCAGTGTGAGACAGAATTTCCCCTTCGGTCAGGAGTCCGCAGCAGACCTCTGTCGCGGTCTCTGGACCCCCCGGAGTTCCCTTTGGCTTCAAAAGCCTTTCCCATGGAGGGAAGAGGCTCTGCCTCACCCGCGCCACTCAAGGACGAGACTGACAAAAATGCTGCTGGTCCGCCAGGCTCTGCGCTGCTCTCCTGGCCTCCTCCGCCAAGACCCCACCCTCCTGCACCACCTGCTCCGGCACCTTAGAATCCTGCCCCGTCCCTGGCAGGGCGAGGGAAAATGGGGCTCTCGGGGAAAGCAAATTAAACCACGCATCACCCTGACTGGGAATTAATCAGCAATAATTGCACAAGGGAAACACAACTGGAGATAGAGAGACTTAGAAATGGAGGCAGGGGTGGGTGGGTAGCAGGGGATAGGGGTGAAGTGTGGGGAGAGGCTGAAAGCAGAGGCCCACAGACAAGAAGATGGGTGGATGCACTGCAGACAGGCCTGTGGGAGTGTGCGGCTTAATGCACCGCAGCGATCGATTAGCCTCCTAGCAGAGAGCGTAGACCACACACCCTCCAGTGATCGGTGGGCTCTGGGCAAACGAACGGCCAAAACTGAACAAGAAGCTGTAATGTGGCAAGAAATTTAAACACAAAGAGAAAGCCTTGCTAAAAGCCATCAGGCAGAAAAGTGAGCTGACCTGTGTTAAAAGCACCCAGATCACAGACCAGCAGGCAGGGGTTAATAAGTGTGACTGGGTAGCTGAGTTCCAAAAAGATAAGTTATTATTAAAGGAGTAAAAAGGCAGCTTTTACAGATTTCTCCTCCACCACAATTGAGGCCTCAGCCCAGAGACCATCTCCATGGATTCCAGAGGGAAAGGACCAGATTTAGGAATTTTGTATCACATGGACAAATGACTTGTTTGCAGGATAATAGGGAGATATTGAGAAATCTGCAAATCTCTGCAATTTTACCAGATGAGCAGTTTTCCTTCAAGGAATGTCTAGGAATTTCTTCTAAATTATGTAGTGTTGAATCAGAGAAAGAATTCTTGAACAGAGAAGTGAAAAGAAGTGACAGTGATCACTCAAATACAAATTAAGGTTATGGAGGTCAGGAAATAAAAACATTAGCACTAATAGTTTAATCTTAATCACACTGGATTAAGTCAACAGAGTGTGAAAATATGGGGAAAAAATAAATAGCTGAAAATGTCAAAAATTCCTTCAATTCCATAAAAGGGATTAGGAATGGGAAGTGGCCTATTAGCTAGGCATAAAAATAGGATTAAGAATGTTAATGTGTGTCTTAGATGTCACTGGAATGTTGACCTTTGAAATATATTCACTACTATAAACAAAGAAGACCATCAAAAGGTACAGTGTCCAAGAGACAAAGGAGGCATAAGAAACAGAAGCATGAAAGATTGGGATGCCAGTCAGGCCAGACAGAGCATCAATAAAGAAAAGCAGCCTCTATTCCCCATGTAAGACACAGTGTCAGATCTGATTGAATGAGATCCAATTCGAGGCCCATCTACAGCAAGGAACAGCCCCAAAGGACAGAAAGAAATTTGTGCAAAGATTCTGCAACCAACTTTGATCAAATGAACAGGACAAGTTGCAATATCACTACAGGGTCGAATTTAAATGAGAAAGCATTACACAAAAAGAGTAGGAATATAATGACGGAGGGCAAATGCGTAACAAGGACAGGGCATTATTGAGTCTTTATGCAATGGGAAAGCATATTGCTATCCTCGTGGCTATGGGGATGTAGATGGATAAACCGCTTTATAAAGCAATTTTGCTTAATATCTAGAGCCTTGCACAGCTCATATTCCTTGACCCAGTAATTCTCCACTTTTGATAATCTACCCTTAAGAAATAATGCAAAATATGCACAAATATTTATGTCTCAAGGTGTCACAATTATTCATAACAGCAAAAAACTGGAAATAATCTAATATGCACAACAGCAGAAGAATAGTCAGAAACTTAAATAAGAATACTTAAGATAATGCTTCTGAGCAGTTTTAATGACCTGGGAAAAGTGTTAAAATATTATGTGGAAAAAGCAGAAAATAAATTTTGTACACAGAATGATACTAAGTGTATTAAACAAATAAACATGGAAGAAAAGGCTCAAAGGTTATAAACTAAAATGTTAACAGTGGTTATGGATAGTCGGAATCAGAAGTGACTTGAAAGCTTTTAAATATTTTTCTGTACTTCCTAAATTTTGCATATTGCCCCTTTATATAATAAAAATATTACAACAAAAGTCTATATGTATCAAACAACATGACTAAACATATAGGAAGGGAAAACATTAAAAATATAGATTAAATGGCAAAACACAATTTAATGTGAGAAATTAGCTCATCATTGTCCTGTAGGACAGATAAATCAGACAATAATAGGAATGTAAAGGGCATTGCCAGGAATGTGTGAAAGTCTTTAAAATGAGCAAAGAAAGATTACTAGGTTTCTTGTCTAGTACATCCTCTGGATTAACTAAGTCTTTTCTTGTTTTGGAGCTACTTCTAAAACTCTGTTAAATGTATAAAATTTATCACAATGCAAATAATTCCCATACACAAAAATGCATATGAATTTTGTCTGGTAGAATGCAACTGATTGTTGCTCTGTGGACAGTGGCCCATTTTGCATATATACACAACTTCATTACAGAATTCCCGGTTGCTTAGATATATGATGTGCATTCCTTGAGTTTTCCTTTGAGCCAGCTGAAGCATCTCACTGGTTCTCACATGAGTTAATGAGTTAAATAAAATCTTTGACATGTGTGCATTTTATGTTTGTACAAAAGACACAATTTCACCTATTTCTAATGTCTTCTGACAGCATATATTCCATAACAAAGAAAGGATGGTAGTTATTTTCAAATTTTATATCCACATCATCTCAAGCATCTGTGAGATAATTACAAGATAATCAAACACTTAAATAATGAAGAAATCTCAACACATTAGAAAAGTGGAGTGGAAACCTTACCAGTTACTTGGTTTTCCCTTAATACAGCGAAATAAGAAATGAGTGAGGCTGTAACAGATTATTAGAGAACATTGAGAGAGAAAATGATACACATTGAAATCTAAGGTTGCAGTGAAAATATCATACAAAGGGAAATGTTTAAAATTTCAAATTGTATTATCAAAAAAGCGTGAGCATTCCATTCCACCTTTGAAAAGGACTAGTACTGTCAACAAACCTAAGAAAACAGGAAGAAGGAAATAATGATAAAAGAATATAGTAGAAAACCTATCATGAAATTTAAAGAAACATGTTAAGGACTGGTTATCAGAAACAATGAATTAAAGTGCAACAATGCTGTCAAATAGAATTCTTAAAATGTAGCAAATAGGACAAAAATTAAAACCCAAGCTTCAGCAGCAGATGTTTTATTGAATTTAATCTGCATTAAGTTCCTGTTTTGTGTCAATGTTTTAGATTAAAACAAAATCATAAGAACTTACTATGAGTAATTGATCATGAGACTCAACATCTCCACAGCAGTTTTGTTTAAAACGGTATTAAAATGCACATGAAAAGTTAAAAACTTTACTAGAAGTAAGCTTGACCTTAAAATAACTAATAAAATAACACCCCTCCCTGTTTAGTATCTTGACCTAAGCCAGCCTTATGGATAAATTATATTTTGGAATAGAAAAATAATTCTATGTTAGAGAAGCTGATTCATACACAGAAAATATTCAAACCACCTACGATTCACTTCCAAACTAACATCCCATCTCAATTCCTGATAGAGAAACACTCAGTGAGAATTCAGCAGCGTGATAACAGAATAATGTGCCAATTAGGGTTTGTCCCAGGAAGCTAAGGATCATTCAACAGGAGAGAATCTAATAATAGAATTCACCCCATCAATGGCTTAAGAAAAATCATACAATCAAAAGGCATTTGAAAAAAATTCACTACCACCTCCTAAGACAAAATTTAACAAAGGGAATGCAAAAACACTTTTTTTTTAAACAAGCTGAAGAGGATTCTAAAATAAGACCGGTTATTAATATTGTACTTAGTGGAGAAAGGCTAGAGATGCACTTGAAAATTAGGAGTAAAACAAGAATGCCTGAGACAGCAGCAGTACAGGGTTTAGAATTTGGGGAAGATGGAAGGGGACCCAACAGAGAAATAAGAGAAACGCGCATCAGAGAGGGAGAAGATGGCTAAACTAGCGAACAGCCTGCTATGACTGCACAGCAGCAAGAGCGAAGGAGTCAGAGGAAAGCAGCGATGGAAGAGAAGCATTTGAAATTATCAATGACCTGCATCTCTACAGTCAAAAATCAGAAAACATGCAAGAAATGCCAGTCACTGCGGCATTTTTAGCCTTGCTGCTAAAAACGCACACGGAGCATCGCACACGCTCAGTATCTGAGAGCAACATCTCCAGACTGGTCTGAGTTGGACAGGCAGACACTGAAATCCTGTCCTGGATGGAAAATGAGGTCGCATCTCAGAAGAATTCTCACCACAGACCAAGAAGCAAGTGCACGTTATTAATGCCCCGAGACAACACTGCCGGAAGTGGCCCTGTTCAAATATGGGGAAACCGAGGCTCAGGGAGGTGGTTTCAGTTGCGGCCACCCGTTGGGTGTGGAACAGGGCTGACACCCTGGTCTATGCAAGGCTTCTGGGTCTGGGGTCTTCCACACTCCCTTCTGAGGTGCTTGCCCGCCTTATGTTTTCAGAATGTCAAACAACAGTATCTACGAGGACGAACAGCAAGACCCAAAACAGCGTGGCCGCAGGACAGAGGGGAGTGCAGATCGCCGGAGACTCCGGACTAGGCCGGCTATTTGTGCACGTAGGGGAAGAAAGGCGTTCTCTGACACACAGCAGAGCAGGAACCGAGCAGCATTGGAAATAGACACACAGGATGGATCTTTGGGCACACAACAGGGGCCTACTGATAAAGACTACGAGTTGCCTTTGCTCTGTGCCAGGCCCTATGCTAAGCAGCCTAGAGACTTACTCCACTCAGTCCTCGTAAGGACTCTATAGGGTGAATGCTCCCATTCCACAGATGGAGACACTGAGGTGCAGAAAGTGAAGTGACTGGCTTGGAGTCCTTCCACCAGGTCTGGCTGACTTGGTCAGCTAAGCTCCTGACCCCAGCCAGCAGATGGAGCTGGCCTTTTCTGAGTTCTCACAGCCCAAGGTCATGGGTAGGCTGCAAGCCCTGGGCATCTGTGAGTCCCTCCCTGCATGGCCCGCTCCCAGCTCCTCCCTGCGTGCCTGGGTCAGTGTGTCCAAGCAGCTGCCCTCACGCCTGGCAGACCCTCCAGTCACCCCTGGCCACCATGCAGTGGGGGGTCACCCTTCTGTGCCTGTTTCCATGGCTGTGAAGTGGGAGGAATGGTAGCAGCTCCCCAGAGGGTGGCTGTGAGGACCACACTGAGGTCCTCGGGAAATTGACGGTGCCTCTGCTCTGTGCATGCAGAGACGGAACACAGTCCGCCTGCCCCTCCAGGCGCGCCTGGCCCCCTCTCCCTGCCTTATAGCAAAGGGGCTGACCTGACGGGCCTGCTCTCTAGGGCATGGCAGGGTCTCTGCGCTCAGGCTCCTGCGGCCTGGCTCATGCCTCCTGGCTTGGACGTGGCATTCTCATACGAGAGCCCATCAGATTGCTCTGCCAAGTTCAGCTGCACGAACTCACGCCAGCCTCTCATCCCATCCCCGGACTCCACTGTAGACGGGTGCTGCCAGGTACGATGCCCGTCCAACGACCCTGGAGAGCTTGCAGTGGCTGCTGCTCCTTTTCTAGAACTCATCCCAGGACCACACCCGATTCAGCGAGAGGGTCTCATGCTCCAAACCAGACACTGGCTGGACAGGGCCATTCACCAGGCCACCCACTCACTCCACAGTTTATCTCAGCTCCTTCTTGGAGCCCAAAGCCCACCCCAGAGCCAGTGCCACCCAACCCTTGTTATCACAAACCTGGGCACCCTTGGGTGAGGGTGCCCTGGAAACAATCTGGAACCAAATCAGCACTCAGGCGCTGGCCCCCCAGGGCCCCCCATGCCTGCTGACCTTCTTGGTGTAGCCCATGGCCTTCAGGACAGAGTGATTCAAGGTCTCCAGTGAGGCCAAGACGTCCTCATAGTCCCCCATGTGGTCCACAAAGTAATCTGGGGAAGGGAAGACAAGGTCAGGGGTCACGGGAGGACTGTGCCCCTCCCACGAATCCCACCTCTCCCAGTTCCATGCCCCCCACACCCCACCTTGGTTCCTGCACAGCTGGGCACTTACCACACAGCTCCTTGGTGTCCACGTGGCTGCAGAGAGATAATAGGGAGACTGAGGCAGGCCTGGCCTGTCCCCTCTGCCCCCCACCCTCCTTCTGCAGCAGGCTCAGCCCCGCTCGGCTGGTGAAATGCCTGCCATGCCTTCTCTGTCCTACGTCCACTTCATGGATGAGGCGGCAGCAGGTGAATGATGGCCCTCAAAAGACCCCAGCAGGGACCCATGTCCATATGTCTGTCCCACCCCCTCTCCCAAAGTCTGCTGACTACATCATGAGCATAAGGGACCACGGACAAGGGGCAGGAAGGGCCAGAGAGACTGCGATGGGTCATCAACAAAGCTGTCCGTTGACACGCAGCCCACCAGGCGTCCGCGCCTGCTGGGTCCTAGGCAGCCCTTCTTGTTCTCGCCAGGGGTCCCGCATCCCCATCCCTCCAGGGGAGAAGTCCTGTCCTTCCTCGGATTGAGCATGAGGAGGCCCCCACGCTGGAGGGGCACGTGGCAGCCTCAGGCCAGAGGCGGCAGAGGGGCTGGGGCTTCACGGAGGCAGCGGGCGTCGGTGCAGGCTCTGACCCCCTTGCCGGAGCTGGCCCCATGCCCTCGCTGGGAGAGGAGGAGGTGGGCCTGGACGTTCAGGACGCTTCTGGGAAAAGGCCCTGGGTTCAGAAGCTGTGCATGGGGGTTCCCCCATTTCTCTCTGCATGTTAAAAGCCCTGCCGAGAGGTCGCCTGTTTAATTGTGCTTAAACTAGCGTGTCATCAGTCTTTCTGATCCATGTGAACCATAGCCAGAAAGCCTCCGAGCATCCCAAGGAGCGGAAGCTTACAGCTCACCCTGGGGCGCGGAGGGAGGAGCCCCAGAGACCTTCGGGGTTGGGCCCCTGTGCTGGCGAGTTCCGGCCCGCGCACTGAGGTCAGACTCTCCAGCCAGGACCGCTGCCCCCAGTGCTGTCCCAAGAAAGGCCCCGCGGGAAGGACGGCACCCCTAGGCGCCTGCCTTGCCCTTTCAGATCTCCCCAGGGGGCTGCAGGGACCGCTCAGAAACCGCCGTCTGGCTCCAGAAACAAAGCCCTTGGCCGGAGTCTGCAGCAGGAAGCTGTTTCTTTCAAGTGGCCGCCCCCAACAAGGACACCACTCCACCCACCCCCCTCTGGTCCCCAGGCCGCTGCGGTCCCCCCGTGCCCCCCCTGGTCCAGGCCTCCGCCATGCCTTCAGATCCTTGGGATGCGCCTGGCCACAGCGCCTCGTCCAGGCCGCCTCTAGCCTGTCTTGGGGGCCCCGAGCAGTCCCTGTGAGCTCCGGGCCTCATCGGCTGAGTGGGCCTGAGGAGGGTGACCGCGGTGGGGGTGAGGGGGCCTGGCCTCCTCCCGCTCGGGGTGAGGGAGGAAACGGCGAGGTGGGGGGCGCTGGGGCTCAGTGAGCAGAGCGCACACTTTGCACTGGACTTACAGATGGGCTGGGGCCAGAGTTTTGGTTGATTTCTGGGGTGCAGGGTAGGTCACGGTTGGGTTGGAGAAAAGGCTTGTTAGGCACCGAGACAGGAGCAGTACTGAGGTCAGAGTCGGGCTTAGTATTTGGTCAGTTTGGCTTCTGATGGGATCCAGTGAGGGTCAAGGGCACAGGGTCATTTCGGGACTGGGAATAAGCACAAGGGGTCCGAACTGGGCTGCGCTAGTGGAAGGCGACCCATCACCAACTCCCCTTCCCCTCATCCTCGTACATCTGTGAGGTCCAGGGTCTGTCCCTGCTCAGCCACGTGGCTCAGGACAGAGCAACCTGCCCGCGTCCCGATCACCCAGCCAGCGGGGCCAAAGAGAGCTGACTTTGGGATTTGCGTGACTGGGAATTTTCAGGCCGCCTGCTGCTCCAGGGGGCCAGAAATGGGGACTGGCTGCTGGGTGGGGACAGGCTGCCTCCGGCGCAGACCCCGGCCGCCCCACCCGGGGCCGGGCTCACTTGGTGTTGTCCGAGTCAATCGTGTGAAAGAGATCCTCCAGTTCTTTCTCGTCGAGGACACCGTCTGCAAAGAAGAGCTGGAACTCCTCCAGGGACAGCTTCCCATCATCTGCAAGGCAGGGAGGGAAGGGAAAGAGCAGCTGGTGTCCAACAGGCGGGACACCCCCAATCCAGGCACTCCCCAGATGAGTGGAGAGCTCCAGACGTACTTCCAGCCCGCCCAGGAAATTCCCAAACTCCACTCCCAGAGAACCACTGACCAGTCCAGCTAATCCCAAACCTACAGGCCACCTCCCATTTGCAGACAGTCCCCCAGGCCAATGGGCACAACAAGCCGCCCTCACCTGATCCACCGGCCCCCCCAGCTCAGGTGGCCACACCTGTGAGATGCGGGGCCGAAGCGGGGCAGTCTGATGACCACCCTCTCTCACCTCCAGATGCCCAGATAATCTCCACACGCTTAGATCCTCCCGGGCCCCAGCACCCAGGCCCTGACTCTGGGGAGGCGAAATGACCTCTCTCCACTCTGCTCCACCCACACGGCAAACTCCTTGGTCTGACGCGCAACAGCTGCCACCAGCTGGCACAGAGTTCTCACCATGCCACGGAGGCAGCATGAAGACTTAAACACCAAGGGAAGGAGGTGCCAGACCTGGCCTGGGCCCGGCACTGCCTGGCCCTCCTCTGGGCTGAGGGGCTGTGGTTCTGGGATGGGAGGAGCCCCTGTAGGTGATGCAGGCCACCTGCCCCTGCCCTGGGCCCTCCTCTGGGCTGGGGGCTGTGGTTCTGGGATGGGAGGAGCCCCTGTAGGTGATGCAGGCCACCTGCCCCTGCCCTGGGCCCTCCTCTGAGAGGGGGGAGGCTCCCAGCAGAGCACCAGGGGCCCCAGGGAGCAGGCCCCAGGCTTGCACCCTCAGCTCCTCCCACCTGGGCACATCTCCTTAGCAAACTCCTGAAAGCTGAGCTGCCCTCCCACCCTGCCCCCCTCCTCCTTAAAGGAGCTGGGTCTGTGGGAGGCAGTGGAGGTCAGGGGGAAGGGAGAGCCTTTACAGCTCTGGGCCCCTCCAGCACATCCCCTTCCATTCCTTCCAGCCAATCAGAGCCCCCATGAGCCACAGGGCATCTTTGTGTAGATCAGGAGATGCCCCTTCCTGGTTGGGATGGGGGATGGGGTTGTAGTCCAGTGTCAGGATACATGGGGTGGGAGTGGAGTGCAGGATGGATCTGAGGCCCTCAATTCTCTTGTGCAGGGCCCAACCCGCCCAACCCCACAGGGCAGACCTACTTGGGCTCAGAGTAGAAGTCATTCTTACATGAAGGCTCTGGAGTGTCTATCTCTGCCCCCAGCAGCTCTGCAGGGACACGCTCAGGAGAGGGAGGTCCTCCCCCTGTGCCACGGCCCCCTCCACCTGTCTTCCCTCTGGTGCCATAATAAAGTGTCAGGGTCAGGGGTGGGAAGAGAGAGAATGTGAACAGGTGTGTGCAGGGGCAGTGGAGGGTCTGGGGACAGGTGCGAGTGTGCTTCCTACATCCCAGAGGGAGAACAAACCCCTCACTTTCAAAAACACAAGCCCTTCCAAAAGTAAAAACAAAGGACTTCCCACCCATGTGCGCACACGAGACCCTGAACCGACCGCGAAGGCACAGGGTCCCGCCGTGAACCGCGTGAGCTCTAAGTGGCGGCTCTTCGTTTTCTGTGATCCCCGAGGGTTCCGGGCTTCCTGTGGCAGGACGGTGATAAAACCGGGGCAGCTGTGCAGGATCGCGGCTGACACATGAGGCTCTTTCCCACGTTCACGCATTCAGGCCTCACAAACACCCCCATTTTAGAGACAGTAAACCAGGGCTCAGGGCGGTTAACAGACTTGCCCAGGTCCCACAGCTGGAGCTCAAAGCCAGGCCCTCGGGCTCCTGAGCCCATACTCTCAACCCAGTCAGGGGCAGGGTCTTGTGGAGAGACCCCCAGGCACAGGGCTACAGGGAAATGCCGAGGCTCAGTCTGAACTCAGGGGCAGCATTCTGTGGTCGATTAGCCATGCCTGCCACGGGCACAGGGCGCGGAGTGGGGGCAGGCTGCCTCCCTGCCTCCATCTCCTGCCTGCCCAGGCACCTCTGTCCAGTCCGCTCTCAGGAGAACAGGCAGGAAGAGGCCTGCTGGCCTCCTGCGCACAAAGCCTTCTCGGCTGACATTTACCTTGCCTGTCCCGCCACAGCCCTAATGAGCCTGAATCATCTTAATGAGGGAAGCAACACTCCAATTAGACGAGTGGGCCTGGCACCTCTACTTCCGGCAAGGACCCCCCCCACCCAAACAGGCTGTTTGCAGGTGTTTTCTCTAATTAGCGTGAGCTTGGCCTCTGTCGCAGTGACCTTTTAAATGCCAGGAATTGGCTAGTGTCTGCATCCCTGCAGAGCAACGCAGGCTGGAGCTCATCCCTCCCGTGGCTGCCAGGGTCACCCTTCCAGGCGCACAGCCCAGGCTGCCAGGCAGCCCCTCACTCTCAGCTCCCCTCGCAAGCCATGCCTGCCCTCCTCCTCCACGGAGAAGTCTGTCCTGGGAGCCAGCAGGACAGGCCGGCGCTGAGCCCGTGCTCCATCACCCCGAAGGCTTATCCCATGCACCCACGCTCCCATCTCCCAGGCCCAGGCATCTCGCTGTGCAGACACCTGGGGCAGGGTCAGCATCAGCCTGCGCTGAACAGCGGTGTGCACGTGGGGAGTGCAGCTGTCTCTGCTTGGGTTCACGCCCGCACTCATCCGTCCGTACCTGCTCACGCCACCCCTGCCCACACAATGTGTTCAAACTCTGCTAGGCTGGGCCAGGACTGGCCTACACCACGCCCCGGCAGAGGGCCTGCAGCGGTGTTGGCCGCTCCAAGCCTTGCTTTCGTCATCGTCCCAGGCAGCTGATGCTTTTTACCCCAGTAGGCGCAAAGATAGACCCAAAGGAGCTCTGCTGGTCTTGGAGCCTAACAGATGCTCAGTGGTCGCCAGCAGCCTCCGCCAGATGGTAAAGCACAGCGGGGTGGTATTCACACACCTACTGCCCAACAGCCCCTGTTCAAGGCGTTCAGGGCTCCAGCTGGCATTGCCTGGGGCTTTCTGGTTCCTCACAGCGGGCCAAGCCTGGAGCTCCACTTTCTGCCTCATGACAGCCCTCTGAGGTGGGGACCAGCATGGTTATCTCCACTCACAGATGGGGAAACAGAGGCCCTAAGAGTGTGGTGACTGACCTGTGGTCACACAGCTGGTCTAAGCGGCTGAGCCAGGCTTGAACCCAGGCAGTCCCTGTGACGGAGGAGGAATCCTGCCTGCCCACAGGCCTGGGAAGCTCCCCAGAACCGGCATCACCTGCCCACACAGCCCTGGTGACAACCCCCATGGGGCTCTGGGTGGCTGGAAGATGGGAGGCCTGCAGGAGGTGTGGCCTGGCCCCATGGGGGCCAGTGAAGGCCAGGGTCCCCACAGCCAGGCTCAGGGGGTGGGATGGCCTCTGATGGGAACAAGCCCTGAGGATGAAACCCCATCTGCACTGAAGGAGGCCAGGGCGCCACCACCCACCCACACATGCACGTGCACATGCATACTTGGGATGGACGGCAACAGTCAGGAGGCACGGCCATTCACACCCACGCTCCCTGGAGCACGCGTGCAGCCCGGGGACGCAGACTCTCATCAAGGAATAAATCCACTGCCTGTAAACCTGCAGGTGTTTACTGAGGACCTACTGTGTGCTGGGGACAGACCCAATTGCCAACCTCACAATCAGCTGGGGAACCTGGCCAGCACAGGGTGATGACCACATATCCCCAGGCAGCCACATGCTGAAGATGCTAGAGGGGCCAGGGTCAGGGAGCACAGCCCCCGGTCCTCTCTGGTCCTTAAGGCAGTTCAGGCCACGATGCCACGACCAGTGCCCCACGTCCCTCTCCCTCCTCCTGGCTCCACGTGGGCTTGCTGCCAACCCTTCATCCCAAGAGGCCCAGGAGGGGCCACTGTCACACCCAGGAAATGGGTCAAGAGATGGGGACCCCTGGACACTGACTTTCAGCCCAGGCCTCTGTACTCTTCCTGTCCCCCAAAGACTCATGTCCTACCCCTCAACACAGGAGGGACAGTAACTCCCAGCGGGGGGCAGGGGTGCTGAGCACCCAGATCGGCACTGCCATTGTGAATGCCAACCTGTGCAGCAGAGGCCCCGTGGGGCCAGATGCTCTGGGGGACCAGGGCAGGGGCCATCCGGGTTGTCTGTGGCCCACTCCTTCCCCAGCAGGACCTCGATACTCATCATTTTTCTCAATGAAGGAGCAAATAAACACTGAGCACTGCTCGACTCTCTTAAAAAGTCCGCCACCCACATCTCCCCGCGTTGCCCCAACAGCCCAGGGAAGCAAGCAGACAGGCCACCGCCCCCCTTCACAGGGGAAACAGGCCTGGAGAGGGACTGAACCTTCCTTAAAGTCCACGGAGAGTTGCTTCAGGCCCAAGAATAATGATTAAGAGATTGATACATGCGTGAGATTAACAGCCTGTTGCCCCTGTGAGGCTCAGGTGAGCCTGGGGAAACTTTGCCCCCCTCCAGCCCCTGCCCTTCCCCATGCAGCCTGGGCCCTCTGTGAGTCAGACGTGCAGTGTCATGAATTTGTTGGCAAGAACATGTGCTGCTGGTGGGGTAAAGTGCTGGGGGTCTGCAGCACAGCCTTGACTCCCTTTATGCAGCTGGGTGATATTGGGCAAGTCACTGAACCTCTCTGGGCCACTGCTGAGTTGATAGAACAGGGCACCAGCCCTGACTGCATCTGGTCGCTGGGAGGAGCAGTGTGCCAGGGCTGTGAAGGGCCTACAGTAAGGCTGGGGGCTCCCTTACGCATGGTCTCTGGGGCCCCACCTGGGCTGCTCTGAATCATCCTGGCTGCACAGGGGCTAAAAACCTTAGCATGCACCAGCTTCTCCACGTCACAGGCATCAAGTCATGGAACCCTCATGGCATCCCCACTATGTAGGAACCGTGGGAGTCCCACTACACATGGGGAAACTGAGGCACAGAGCAGGGCCAAGATCTGGCCTTCTGACTTCAGAGTCCTACACTTTAACCCTTAGGTTCAAAGTTGTCCACATCCCTAACCCTGACCTCTTTCCTAGAAGCATCAGGAGAGAAAGGACCAGGTCCTCATTCAGGGGACAGCCTGGGAGGGAAACTCACCATTTTTGTCCGCACGGCGGAAAATCTGCAGAGAAGAGATGTAGAGTCAGCCTGGGCCCTTGCGCAGCTTCTGAGCATACTGAGGTCCCGGGCCTCCCCAGGTGGGCCTGGGGGCCTGAGCCCCCTCTCCCTTCCCAGGAAGGAGACCCCGGTGGAGACCCAGGGGCAGGGGAGGGGTGTTTCAGGCAGAGGCCGTCCCAGCCACCCACGAGGAAGCAGCCGCCTACCATCCCTCTGTGCCGCCAGCCTGCCCATGGCCACGTGACAGACACATATACACACACACACACACACACACACACACACTCACACCCATCCACGTGCTCGTGCATGTCCTTCCAGAGCCACCGGTCCACGGGGCCTTATCCACTGTCATATGCCAGCGGCACACTCAGAGTCTGTGTCCAGTGGACACAGCCACACTCCGTACACCACCGCACCTGCCCCTGCACTCCTCGGGAGCCCCGGTTTTCTCCAGGGAGACTGGGTTAAGTCTGATGGAGGTGTCTGCTGCTGGCCCCTTGGGGCCTGGTGAGCGGGCCCACTCAGGGAGGGCTATATCTTCTGGGTGGGGAAGCAGGCCGCCAGGAGCTCAGAAAACCAGCGGCAGAGGCAAGGCTCTGGCTGCACTGGTGGGGGTGGAGGAGGGGATGCAGGGAGAGGCCGCCCACCCTATCCCCCAGGCTGAGCTGAGACCAGGTAACTCCTGGCATTTTGGGGACCAGGTAAGCCATGCTGCTGGAAGAAGGAGGGGAGGCTTCACCTGCTCTGACCATCACCCCTTTGGCCCTGTGCCAGGGACAGATGCTCCTCCCACCTCACCCCTCCAAGCAATGGGGCAGGCATCTGTTCCCGGGCACCTGGGCCACTGCAAATGCACGGCAGCTGAGAAAGGGCTTCTCAAGACATCACCCCCTCCCTTAGCTGAACCCTGAGTCCAGGGTATGGGGTAGGAGCCCCTGAGGCTGGGCAGAAAGGGGAGCAGTTATCAGAACACCTCAGGCCACGAAGCTTGGGCCTGGGTGCCCCACATCCACGCTCCTGACTGCCCCGTTCCTGGAGGCTGGGGTCCCACCCTCAGGGGCTTGCATTGGGCATGAGTGTTAAACAAGTAACAACAAGACCATGCTGGGGCTCCTGGAGTCTAGGGGAGTCTACACGAGCCCCCAACTCTTGTTCATCACCCCATTTCCCACATCAGGAAGTGGAGGCTCTGAGCCACACGAGGGGGGCTCCAGAGCCCCTCCTGTACTGTTAGGGAGAATCAGGGGGTCCGCCTGGGGCTTCCATGCGGGGGTGGGCTTAGGTCTATGGATCCCACAGCCCAGGAAACCTGCTGGGGTCCTGATACAGAGTCCAGCTGTGCAGGTGCGTCTGTGCGTGCACTAAGGCCACAGCATGCACAGCATAGCACGGCATCCCCTTCACAGCCCAGCCCCCTCCGCCCAGAGCCACCTATGGGTTCCCAGAGAGAGGAGAGGAAGGGGGCAGGAAACCCACGCTTCCCACACAGAGAGTGCAGCAGGCACACACCCGTGTGCACACACCACACACACCCCTCCCTCCCAGAAACCCGGGATGCATATGTGGGGCACCTCCATTCCCCACCACCACCACATAGGACCCTTCTGGGACATGCACATCCCACCCTGAGCTGTCATTGGGGGAACCCTGGGAGGAAGCCCCTCAGCCGACTCCCAGAATTCGGCAGGGGAACCCCCGACCCCAGCCCTCCATGCATGCAATCTCCCTCCCATCCCCGGGGGTGGACCTCCCAGAGCTGGTGGTTTGGGTCCCAGTGGGGAAGGGAATGGAGGACAGACGGGGCTCAGAATGGGGTGGGAGTGGTTGGGGGGCCCATAGGGGTCCCGGCTCAGGGCGGATGGGGGTAGTTCCAGATCTACTGAGAAGAGGGAACAGAGGTGCGGAGAGGGCTACACTTTCAAAGATATGGTGGGTGGGGCAAAAGGGTCTTCGGGGAGGAGAATACAAGGGCTCAGGGTCTGTAGCCAGGAGGAGAAAGGTGGCTGGGAGTTCAGAGGCTCTGGGGCGGAGAGGAAGGGGGCTGGAGGCAGCGAGGGCTCCTGTCCCGGAAGGGTAAGGGAGGGGGCGAGGTGCAGGGCTAGGGAAAGATGAGGGTTTGGCCAGGACAAAAGTAGGGGGGCAGTCCTGGGGGTAGGCGCTGCAGGGTCCTGGCTCCGAGAAGGTGGGGGATCCCGAGAAGTGGAGAGGGGAGTGGGCGGAGGGGGGAAATCTTTCTGGTCTAGGGACAAAACTGCACCGGGATGGACATCAGCTGGGACCGGGAGGGACTGGGGGCGAGCGTCCTGGGACGCAGAGGGGCTGGGGGCCGGCTCTGCTGCGGGCCGCCCGGGGAGGCGGCGGGGGACAGAACGGGGGTCTCCTGCTCAGGCTGGGTGTGGGGGTGTCCCGGCAGGGACCGAGGAGGATGGCGTCGGGGGCGTCCTGTGGGGAAGGGGCTGGGTCTCCAGCCGCGCGTACTCACGTCCAGGATGACAGCGGTGCCCCCGCGCGGCGAGGCGGGGCCCCGGCCGGGGCTGGGGTCCGCGGCGGGGACTTCGGGGACCAGCGGCGCCCGGGGCTCGCCCATCCTGGCGCCCACCCAGCGCAGAAGCCCGCCCAGCGCCCGGCCCTGCGGCGGCGGCTCCCGGAGCAGCCTGTGTGCGCCGGCCCTGCACAGGCGCGCCGCCCGCTCACACATCGCGCCGCGCCCGCCGCCGCCGCCCGGAAGCCCGCCGACCCCCGCCCGGCCCGCGGCCCGCCCCCGCGCGACCCTCCCCGGCGCTGCCGCCCGCGCCGCCCGCCCTCCCTCCTCTGCCCCCGCGGCCGCGGCCAGCGCGGGGACGGCCGGCGCCGGGGGACAGGGCGGGGGCGCCGCTGTGCCCGGACCCTGAGCCACGTGCCTCGCGTCCCCCCAACCCCTGGTGGCCTGGGCTGGACGCGGGGGCTGGGGGCTGGACCCAACTTCGCCGCGGAGGTTGGCGCGGGGTTGGTGGGGGTCTGGGTGTGGGGGGAGCGACTCGGGGAGGGTCCCCCGAAATTTCCCCGCTGCCCCCCTCCCGAAGGCAACCTCCCCCAACCCGTGGCGACGCCGCAGGGGCCGGAGCGCGGCTGGTCGGCGGGCTCCGGGCGCCCTCTGCCGGCCCGCTGCGGGCTCCGTGCCACGAGCCGGCCGCCCCCACCGCCCGCGGGCACCGCTCGCCCTCCGTGGGTGTGCACGCGCCCAGTACACAGCGTCCAGAGCCAGTCTTCTCCCCAGAACACCTCTTTCCTCACACTCCGCCCATTCACCCATCACCCACCGGCCCAAAGTATCGGTTTAGTGGCATCTCAGCACTAGGTCCAACGAGGGGCTGGGTGCCAACAAGGTGCAAAACAGACGTGGTCCTTGGCCTTCCGGAACTTACATCGAAGCGGCGGAGCAGGATGCAGGAACGATCGCACAGATTAATGAACCGTTAAACCTGAACTGCTTGGAAGAGGTGGCACCGCGGGCCCAGTGGGTGAGGGCTTGCCCCGGTGGCCACGAGAGGAGGCAGGGGAATGTGCCCAGGGCTAGAGCTCCGTCCCCCACCCTCAAGCACAGAATCCTCAGACACGGGAGTGAGGCAGGCACTGGTTTTATTTGAGACACGATTCTGGAAGGAGCGGGGCCTGGAGTCCTGGCTGGCTGCCTCGGGGATCCCTGCTCTCACTGGCAGCTTTCACCCCAAACTGCAGCCTGCCCTGGCCTGCAGCCACTATTCCCACCTGGGCACGGGTCTGAGTCCCCACGGCCTGGGTTCCCCACTCCTCTTCATCTAAGAGGCCTATTGCAGGGGCTCATGGCCCTTCCTGGGTCCTGCTAGGAGAGGCCCCCTTTCCTTACTGGGCATCTTGGGCTGGGCCTAGCCTGCAGCAGGGCTGTGACCTCCCCTTCTCTTTAGGGTCTGGGTGCAAGCATGTCAGGCCAGGTGCTAGGGTGGCCTCCTGGCCTCCTTCCTCAGCAGGGAGCTGGCCACAGCCAGGGCCCCACCCTGCACAAACCGTACAAAATTGTCCCCAGCCAGTGGCCCCACTGCATACAGGCCCTCTTGGCGGGTGCTTTGGTAGGTGAAGGGGTCCACATCAATGGGGTTCCTCTTGGCGCTCAGTGGCTGGTCAGGGTCCACAGCGAGGTTGGTGCCCGCCCCCGGGAGGAAGGAGAGGTCAGGGTGGGAACCGATGAGGACCAGCACCAGGGCGACATCGAAGACCTTCTGGAGGCCTTGGGGGTCCTGGAATACGGCCTGGCGGTCCTCCTTGAAGAGCAGCGGTCTGTGCTCCGGGAGGCTGCGGTAGCCCTCGTAGGGACTGGGCGACAGGATGGACTGCTCACGCATCATGTGGTGCACCTTGTGGTACTCAGGGTACAGCATCTTGGGCAGCTGGTTGAAGACCAGGCCGGGGTCGTCCACCGGCCGGCGGAAGGCGTGGATCACAGGGATGTTGTAGTGGCGGGCATAGAGGACCGCGTCGGCCGCAGACAGCCCTGCGCCGATGATAAGGACGGGGTCCGAGGCTGGGGTCACCGTGCCAGCCCGTGTGGCCGCCTCCAGGGCTGACAGCTCATGGTGGACAAAAGCCAGGGTCTCCCCAGGGATGCCGAGGCAGGTTGGGCTGTCAGACGTGCCTGTGGCTAGAACCACATTGTGGGCACACAGAGAGAAGGGCCTCTGGCTCTGGCCCTTGGTGGTCAGGAAGCCGCTCACCTGGAAGAGCGGGCTGGAGTCCTGGGCCCCAGAGCTGCTGGGCTCAGGTGTCCCCCACTCCACAGCTGTGACCACAGCACCAGACACAAAGTTGTGGCCCAGGCCCTTCTTGGTCACATAGTCTCTGTAGTAGTGAGCAATGTCCCCGGCTGTGGCCCGGCTGTTGCGAAGACCCCTGGGAGGAAGGATTTGGGAGGGTGAGTGTCAGTGGGCTGGGACATGGGGCAATCAGGGGTTCAGGGGCAGGCAGATGGCCTTGGGCCTTGGAGCTGGGCTGCAACTGTGCATCCCATTGATCGGAGTACTTGGCCAAGTCACCCTCTCGGACCCTCAATCTCCTCTTCAGTGAAATGAGGCTGAGGAGGGTGGGGTGGAGAGTGTGGAGCCTAGAGGCAGACGGCCTGGGTTCAAATCCTGGCCCCGCGGGTGAGCTGTGTGCTGGACCCCTCCATGCCTGCCTTGTCATTTGCCAGATGAGGATGACGGCGGTGACAGTACCTAGTTCCTGAGGTTGCTGAGAGGATTAGATGACAAATGAAGAGCTGATGGTAAGTGGCAGTAAGAGTCGGCCACTGTTATTACCTCAAAGGACTAAGTAATATCCTAGGTAAATATGGGAGGATTCCATTTCTGTCAAGTTCAGAAACAGGTAAACCTAATCTGTGGAATTATACGTCAAGAGCGTGTCCCTGTGGGGCTGTGACCGGAGGAGGATGGGGATGGGGATCGGCCTTGATTCTGGGCAGCTGAGATGCAGGTGCGTCCACCCTGAAGCTCACCCACGTGTAAGCACAGGAGTGTGTACTCCTCCTCCATAGGCTATGCTCAGTACACGAGCTGGTTAAGAACTGTCCCATGAAAGGCACTGAGCACTGTCCCCTGCACACACAGCAACAGCGGGGAATGCTGTCGCTTTGTTAGCACCCTTTCTGGGGCAGCGGAGGTTTGCTGGAGGCCGAGATGCTAAGCCTGCCCTGGGAGTATTATGTGGCCATGTAAAAGGATGGTACAAATACTGTGCCATTGCCATGTGACACCCTTATGACATGAGGGTGAATTTTAAAACTAGGCTATGAAGGGGTGTGTCTATAGTTGGAATTTAAGTTCCTGTCTGTCAACACATCATTACTCCCGCCTGGATGTCCTCCTACCAAATCTGCAGGGACAAAAAGTCTACCAAAGAGACAGACAGAGAACCTGGGAGAGGCAAGAATGGAGTTGCTGACCAAAAGCCTGCTGGGTGGGGGTGAAAGGCCCCGTCCCAGCCACCAAGCGTGGAGGAGACAGGGCTTCCCCCCTAGGTGTGGGCAGGTGCTGGAACTCCTCTGCTCAGGGACTCGACTGCTCCTCTGGGACGGTCAGTGTGGTCATCGCGGGGCAGGAAACAAGGTGAGGGGAACCTGCCCCAGATGTGACAGCCATAGAACATGTGTCTCTGAGTATTGGACTGAGCGTGTGGCCTTGGGGCGAGTCCTTTCCCTGTCTGAGCCTCACCTTCTCCCCGGGAGGAAAAGGAAGGGCAGTGAGATGGGCCCGAAGCGCCTGGACCTCTAGGTCCCGGGCTCACGTGGGGCGAGGTCTTCCCTGCCCACCCTGGGCTCTCCAGGGTGCCTCACCTTCGCTTCCTGTGCATCCAGTCCTTGACCTGCAGGTCTGGCAGCCCCATCCACTGGCCTTGGCTCAGGGTCACCATGGAGCCTTCAATGGACTGCATGCAAAAGGAACCCACTGACCCAGGCACTCAGGTAGGGGGGGCACAGGAGGCCTGCTGCAGATGGAGCAGACAGGAGGAGGGCAGGGAGGAGGCAGAGGGTGGGGAGGGAGGGGCAGGAAGCGGGGGAGCCCTAACTTAGGGAGGGAGGGAAGCCCCCTAGGATGTCCCATCAGTTTGGCCCCAACCCCCTTGCGCCCACTCACATGCCAGGCTCCCCCAGGCAGATGCCGGCCCAGGACCAGGTGGGGGATGGCTCTTTCCTTCTGGTGCTTCCAGGTGAGGACAGACTCTGTGTTTCCCCCGAAGTCTGTGTCTGGGCGCAGGAGGGCATCAAAGAGCAGGGCCACAGGGCTTTGGCACCGGCCTTCAAGGCCTTCAGACAGGTAATCCAGGTCCTGGGGCCAAGGGGGGCAGGTCAGAGGGGCCACTGGAGCAAGGCCACATGGTCCTGCATTCCCACCCTAATACCAGGGTGGTCAGATAAGCCTGGGAAATGCTGCCTCTCAGAGGGACATAATGCACATCAGCATATTAAAGGCTCTGACAAGTCATGTAGCTGTTATTTCCCTGTTTAATTTTGCCAAATCCAGCGTCTCTCAGACTTAACGGAATAGGAACGTTTTCTCTGCATATTATACTGAGGAACTAGTCTCACAGAAAATGCTGATCCAGCCAAATGCTGGCTTACTTCCTCATCTGCCAACTTGAGGGTGGGAGGGGCCCGGAAGGATGGACGCTGCCTGGGGGGAGGTGGACAGTGAGAGGCCTCCTGGAAGGCCCAGTGCCTGGAGGAGGACCGTCAAGCCCTCTTGGGTGGGGGTGGTGGAACTAAAACGTCCCGAACAGGACCTCTAACTCTGGCATTCCCGACTTTGGGCCAGACCATGCTGCATAGTGACCATAGGTATTTAACAGCCTCCCTGGGCTCCCCACTCTTAGCCAGCAGAGCCCTGCTCCAGCTGTGACGACCAACCCTGTGTCCAGGTACTGCCAAGTGTCCCCTGGGGTCCAGAGGAGGCAGGACAAGCTGGCGCACTGTTTGTGGTTCTCAGAAGACAGCCTCGGTTTCTCTCACAGTTTCACCAGCTGGTGTCCTGTTCTGTGTTCGATCTCATGTCTGACAAATACCTATCTTTGCTTCTTGCCCTGGGACAGCTGGGGGCAGTTTCCACAGGGTGGGCCTGTCCGCCCAGAGCTCTGGCCCACCTGGTCCAGGATGGAGACGCCCTGAGCCTCTGTGAGCTTCCTCTGCAGCAGGGGGTGCGGGTGGGTGGAGTCAGGCTTCACGTA